TTTACTCTCCCTGCACATTACTGTAGTTGCCGTGTACATTGTTTCCTTGGCTCTGCTGACTTCACTCTGCATCAGTTCATGCAGATCTTTCCATTGTCGCCGTGCTCATCCCATACATCACTTCTTCTAGTACAGTAATATTCCATTCCATTCACGCACCACAGTTTTTTAATCCATTCTCCAACAGATGGCCATTGACTTTGTTTCCAATTCTTGGCTATCACACAAGGTGGTGGTGTGAATATTTTGGAGTTTATGGGTCCTTTCTTCTTATGGATGGCTTCCTGGGAGCCCAGTAATGGAGTCTCTGGACCACAGGGCACCGACGTTTTAGTCGCTTTGTGTAATTTTAAATCACTTTCCAAAATGGTTGTACCATCTCTCAGCTCCACACAATGTATTAGTGTGCCTGTCATCCTCCAACCCTCCATACTTGATGGTTGTCATTTTTTGTCGTCTTTGTCAGTTTGTGGGGTGTGAGGTGAAACCTCACCTTGGGCTTGTGTTGATTCGCATTTTGATTCGGAGCATCCTTTCATATGGTTGTGAATACTTTATAATTCTGCTTTTGAGAATTGTTTATTCATATCCTTTGCTTGTCTGTTGAGGTAAACTGATCTTTTTTTTAAAAAAGTTTTTACTTTTCTAAAAATAACAGTAAGAAACCCATCACATGCTAACATAATTAACATTTTTATGAAAAACAAAATGTAGTGAAAGAGTGGCATTTGGTTTTCATTTTTGCACGTGTGAATTGCCAATTGTTTTTGCACTATCGATACAAATGTCAGCAAACTTGTTCCGGGATAAACACAAGATTCAAAAAGTCATTGACACTGAATATGTCATCACTTCTTGCTTCTGTTGCCAAGCGTTCACATAAAAGGTCTCCTTTTGATGCTGGTAGGGAAAAATAAGAGCAAAATAGCAAGTCCAGCCACGTCTGTAGATTTATCCATTTGTAAAGCAAAATTACATTTCTGCGGAGATGTTAATTCGGTCTTCATGTTGGTAGAGAATGAGAGTCAAAAGGGCAAATAATGTCTTTGTATTATTATTGAAATAAATAGCTTTGACCTCATAGATGCCCTGAAAGGGTTTTGAGGAGCTCTGGGGGCCCCAGACCACACTTTGAGAACCCCTGCTCCATGGTATTAATAAAGAAGGGCAACAGAGTCATGCAATCAATAAACAAAATAGATAAATTCAATTCAAACACCATTTGTTATTAGGCATTTACTGTATGTATAAGCATTGTAGCCACAGATGTCCGCTCTGGGGGGTCCCCAGACCACACTTAGATAACCCCTGCTCTGTGTTATTAATAAAGAAGGGCAACAGAGTCATGTAATCAATCAATCAATAAAATAGATAATAAATAAATAGATAAATGCAATTCAAACACCATTTATTAGGCACCTACTGTATGCAGAAGCACTGGGGCCACAGATGCCTCCTCTGGGGTGCCCCAGACCACACTTTGAGAACTCCTACTCTGTGGCACAAATAAAGAAGGGAGGCAGACTCATGTAATCAGTCAATAAATAATGAGTAAATAGATAAATTTAATTCAAACACCATTTATTATTAGGCACCTACTGTATGTAGAAGCATTGGGTCAGGTTAGTCAGTCGACAAGCATATATTGAATCCTTAGTACTGGTAAGCTGAAGGAAGAGACCAGTGACATAACAGAAGTAAAAACACTTGGAGCTTTAAAAGCGTTACTTCCTGGTAGCAAAAAACTGGAAACAAAGAAGGCTGAACAGAGCGAGGTCTGTGAATGTAAGGAAACACTACTGTACCATAAGGACAGCCAGATAGCGCCATAGTGCACAAAGCACTGGGCTTGGAGTCTGAAAGACTCATCTTGAGTTCAAATCTGGCCTCAGACACTTACTAGCCGTGTGACCCTGGGCAAGTCACTTAACCCTATTTGCTTCAGTTTCCTCATCTGTAAAATAAGCGGGAGAAGAAAATGATAAATCACTCCATTGTCTTTACCAAGAAGACCCCAGATGGGGTCATGAAGAGTCAGACACCATTGAAAAATGGCTGAATAACACGGGTATGTATAGTTTAAGAGCTTTTTATAGGTGAATTCAACCCATTTATGTTCACAGTTAAGATTGTTAATTGTGTCCTTCCCTATACCCTGTTCTCTTCTACTTTTCCCAGTTGTGCATTTTCTTTTTTCTCTTTTTTTTAGGCAGTGGGGGTTAAGTGACTTGCCCAGGGTCATACAGCTAGCTAGTGAGTGCCTAAGGCTGGATTTGAACTCAGGTCCTCCTGGCTCCAAGGCCAGTCCTTTATCCACTGTGCCACCTAGCTACTCCCCTCAGCTGTGTATTTTCAACAAGATTCCAAAATCTTGTTTCCCCACTCTCCCTGAAATGTTCTGGATTCAGGGTTAGAAGTGAAAGCACACTGCCTGATCCTTAGAATATGGGAAAAGATGGTGTGTTTCCTTGTATCCAAGAAACGAAGGCTCTGTTTTCGTCTTATGTTTCATCTGAACAGGCAAAGCTTAGCCAGGATGGGACCAGGTTTTCCCAACTGATGCCATTTGAGTCTTTCCCATCTTTTAGCACAGATCTACGGGACTTTGAAATTCACCTCTGTGATCTTATACATTCTTCCAGGCCCAGATCAAACACCACCTCCTTCATGAAGTTTGCCTGGATTTCTTCCCTCCTCCAACCCCCCTCGGCTCTGGACATGAGTGATCTGCCCCACGGTTGGACCTCTCTTGTCTATTTGTCACACTCCCCTTTTTGTAATCTCCTTTCTAGGTAGTAAAACCTTGATTTCGGGGGCTTTCTTTTCTTCCTCTGTGGGTTCCACATCACTTGGTGCGTAGCAGGGTCTCGGTAAATGCTGAATGAACAGCATTTGTGGGGCTCAGCACCCCCTTCTTGGGGCCACTGATCTACTGGACTGGAATTGGTAAGAGGAGAAGCCAGGAAGGAGGGTGGAAGGGCGTTTGTGCTTAGCTGTGGCTTGGGGCTCCCTTCCTGCCCACCCTGAATTGTGTAATTTTTCAAGCCTCTGCTGGAGGAGGAAGGCGGTGTTAACTTTGCGGGGTGATCAGAGGTGGCTTCCTGGAGGAGACGGCGCCTGAGCTAAGCACTGAAAGTTGAGAGGGATTCTAAAAGGCAGAGATCTGGAGGGAGGCTGGGCAGACATGGGCGCACCCGGGATGTCTAACTGAGGTTGCAGGTTGTGGCTGATTCCTCCAGTCTGGCTGAAATGTAGACTTTATAGAGGGACTTTTGAGACCCTTGGGGCATCCAGCACTCTTCTGTCTGTTTCTCTTCCCCAGGAGGAAACTACCAACTTCATTTTCACACTCTAAAACTTGGGGGTTTCATTTTTTTCCTTTTTAAAGCACTTTCAGGTTTTCAGATTTAAAAAAAGACACTATCACAGCTGAGACAGTCAGGATTTGTACTTACATTCTTAAGAGGAAATCCTTCAAGATTAACCCCCAAGCCAGCCAGTGAGTGGTGAGGCCACGGGACCTGCCTCCCTACATGGGGGTGGTTGTGGGGCCCTCCTGACCCTCATATAGCTCCCTTAGTCGATGAAACTCGCACCCAGCACTTGTATCACACCTTAGAGCCCTCCTTGAAGAGATGTGCTGTTTAGGTGGGCTAAGGCATTCGGCGTTCCAGGCTCTGATGGAACGGGCACCCAGCAGGCAGGGGAAGCTCTGAGCTCTGGCATGCGGTTGCAGGGGGAGGAAGCTGTTCTACTTAGCAGAAATGTGCTTCATTTTAGACCCCCTTAGTGGAGAGCAAAAATCCTCCCTTCTTCCTCCAGTTATCTTGTCTTAACTTACCTGTGTACGTGCTGTCTCTCCACCAGCTGAAAGCAAAGTCTTTGAGGGCCCTTTGCTTTTTGACCAATATTCAGTCTTTTATATTTGTATCAGTCAGCAAGCATGATGCCTCATGCAGAATTGTTTTTCAGTCATTTTAGTCATGTCTGACTCTTTGTGACCCCATTTGGGGTTTTCTTGGCAAAGACACTGGAGTGCTTTGCCATTTCCTTCTCCAGCTCATTTTACAGATGAGGAAACTGAGGCAGACAGGGTGAAGTGACTTGCCCAGGGTCACATGGCTAGGAAGTATCGGAGGCCAGATTTGAATTCAGGTCTTCCTGACTCTAGGCCTGGGGCTCTATCCACTGCACCACCAAGCTGCCCTCAGAGTAGGCACTTAAATACTGAATGAATGAATGAATCCAGGTTTTATTAAATGCCGGGTCATATTATGAGTGAACATGAGGTGGAAACTCTTCTCCACAAGGTGTGGCTTTAAGGTAAAGAGAGAGCCCTTGGCTTATCTGACTCCTCAAAACAGGTGAACAGTGTTGGGGATCTTCCTAGGCAGGGCAGTTTTCAAAGTCAGCTCGTAGAAGTCTGCATCATTTTGTGGCCACATGAAAACAAGTGGCCGTGAGATAGAGTGTTAGAATTAACACCAGCTCTTGTGTGAAGGTGAATCAGTGTGATACGGTTTCTTAAAGGAAATGTGAGGGGCTGAAGTCAGGACCAGAGCCTGACACCAAAGGACTGAAGAGATTAGGAAGGATGGATACCCAGGACATTGGTGATAGTTTACATTTATTTTATAAATTACAAAGTTTTCAAAGCACTTTCCTTGTGAAATTGGTCACACAAGAATGATTATCCCCATTTAAAAAAAATACTTATTTTTAGTTTTAACATTCATTTCTATAACATTTTAAATTCCAAATTTCTCTCCATTTCTCCCCACCCCAAGATGGCATGCAATTCGATATAAGCTCTACCTATCCATACTATTTTCATGTAAGTCATGTTATAAAGAAGAATTAGAACCAATGGGAGGGACCATAAGAAGAAACAAAACAAAACCCAGAGAGAGAGCGCAAATCACATGCTTCGCTCTGCATTCAGACTCCATCGTTCTCTTTCTGGGTATGGAGAGCATTTTCTGATCGTCTCCACTTTACAGATGAGAAAGTTGATCAAGCGATTTGGCAGAATTCACACCCTTGGTGACAGTCAGCTGTCCACGGCAAGATTTGAACTGGAGTCTTTGGACCGTACACTCCCTCTGCTTCGAGTGTGTGGGAGACATCTTGTCAGAAGAGACCCTCGACGGTGGCATATCGCTTCCCAGAGAAAACTGTCTTTTTGGATAGCTGGATAGTAAGCACGGTGAGGTCTTGCATTCACTCATCCTTAGTCAGTTCCTTGATAAGACCCCAGAGGTCTATCCCCTTCTCACATATTAGTCCTGCTTATATTCCATTACGGGAGTTATTGTGGGGCTCTCAGCCCTTTTTTGGGTCTTGGGAGCCGAGGTTCTTGTAGCTGGCCCGACGTCCTCATTTTACAGAAGGGAAGACCGAGGCCTGGGGACAGAAAGTGCCCGGCGCTGCATCGCCAGGGTGCAGAGTGGGGGAAGCCACGTCCTTGTGCTCTTTAGGGCCATTTCCTCTTTCTCCAAAAGCACATGGGCCCTGGTGGGGACAGTCAGAGCAACGGGTCACTGGATCCTCTGTTTTCCTTCTTCCAGTTTTATCCGTCAGCGCCCTTGGGATGACTTTGCATGGTCGGCCTTCTTTAAACTCCTTTTAACAGCAACCAGACTTATCACCTTGGCATTTCCTTGTTAAAGATAACGCCCTCCCTGGCCATAGTTCTGTTTAAAAGTTGGTAAATAACAGATGGCCTCTATGTCATTTTGCCTCATTGTCTGGATTTTCATGTATTTGATCAAGTGAGAGTTTTATTTGGTCTTTTGTTTTGGGTTTTGCCTTGTCTTCATTCAAAAGGAAAATCTTTCTAAAAGGAAAATTCCAGTGTGGTAATGTATTGCAATGAAAATAGCTTTGGATTTAAAGTCAGAGGACCCAGGTTCAAGTCCTGGGTCTCTGGCTCTCCCACTTGCTATCTGTGTGATTTTGTACAAGTAACTCCAGCCTCTGGATTTGTTTCCTCAGCTGTAAAAAGATCAGGTTAGACTAGATTATCTGTAAGGCCTCTCTCAGCTCCAAGTTTATAATCTTTTGCATTTGAACACACACAGACAGATACAGACAGACACAGACACACACACACACACACACACACACACACACACACACACACTCCATTAGAAGGTAAAACAAAGTTTACCTTCCCAAAGAAGCCACATATTATTTGAGTAACATGGGCCACAGAAACTTCAGGTTGGTTCTAAGCTTTCAAGAGAAGCTAGACCAAAAAAAAACAAAGGATGTTTTAAGGAAAACAGTAACCAGTGAATGACCTCTGTGGAAATCCAGGGATGGAGAATCTGCTGAAGAGAGCTTGGAGGCCCCTGGGAAGGGTCTCAAAAGCATCACAGAGCCCCAGGGTTAGGGCTGGGACCTAGAGAGGGCCTCAGGCATTGAAGCCCTCTTTTTTGTTCCTTGGGATGAATGCTATGCTCCACGGGCCACTAATGGCCAAACCATAAGTAAAGATACCATTGATTTATTTCTTTGACCTGCTTTCTCTGTGGTGAGGTAACTCTGGTTCCTGGGCTTGGACTCAGAGGACCGGGTTTAAAACCCACCTCTGGCCCTTATAACGCGTGAGACTTGGAGCAGCTCACATTTTTTATTTCTCTGGGTCTCAGCTTCCTTCTGTAAATTTGAGTATGTAACATCGGAAAGCCTTTTTTTTTTTTAACTAACAAAATCAATGCAACCAAGATAAAAAAGGAAAGCTGCTGATTGGAAAAAAAAAAAGAACCTTTGCCTCAGATATCACTGATCAAAGTCTGATGTGTAAGATAATTGTACGAATTCTGTCTTCCTTTTTCTTTCTGGGCTCTGAAACTGCCACTCATCATTACTGTGATTGGGGGGGCTAAAGTCCCAGCAGAGTATCAGAGAGAAAACATTAGTATCAAGATATGGGCCTCAGTAAAGTTAATCTTGACCTCCATGGCTGGCAAAGGGCTCGCACGTGGGTGAGGCATTGGTATCCACGAAATATTCAAAGAACCAGAGATATGCCCCCTAATATGTTGGGTAAATCCTTTATGTTGGATCTAGAGAAAAGATAGGGAAGAAGAATCTCATCAGCTAGGAACAAAGACTCGCCCTAGTCTATGGTCCCAGGTTTATTGGGGTATTTATTGTATTTGTGAAAAGAACTCCCAGGCCTTTCAATCAGGAGACCAATCCAGGCTTACTTACTAGCTGTGTGATTGGAAGTTATTGCCATTTAACTCCCCTGTGCCTCAGTTTCCTCATCTGTAAAGTGGGGCTACCTGTACTGCCTACCTCACAGCATTCTGATGACAAAAATTATTTTTAAATCTTAAGACTGAGCTCATTCAGCCCAAACTTCTTTGTCCAAAGTTCCGGTGATCTCTTAATTGCCAAATCTGACGGCCTTTCCTCAATCCTCATTCTGTCCTGGGCCCTATTCTCTCCTCCCTCCATACTATTCACTTGTTGATCTCATCAGCCCCTATGGATTCAGTGATCATATTTATGCCAGTGGTTCTCAGATCCACTTACCCAGGCGTAACCTCCCTACTGCCCAGACTCTCTCGTCGCCAACCGTGGATTGGACAGCTTGAACTGGATCTCCTGAAGACATCTTCAAACCAACGTGTCCAAAGCTGACCTCTGTTCCCACCCCCAACTTCCCCCTCTTCCTAACTTCCCTGCTACTGTTGAGGGTGCCCCTGTCCTGCTGCTCACCTAGACTCCCAACCCATCCTCACTTTCTCTCACCTGCCATGTCCAGTCTGTTACTGAGATTTGTCGATTTTCCTTTCATAACATTTCTCCAGTCTCCAGTTCCTCCGATCCAGATCCCCCCTTCTCTCTCTCCTTTGACATTGCCACTGCTCCAGTGCAGGCCCTCATCGCCTCGCATTGGACCGTGGCAACAGCTGGCCGGGGGTCTGCCAGCCTCCAACCTCTTCTCACCCCATTCAGCTGTCAAAGGGGATCTTCCATGGTCCTACCATGTCACCCCCTTACTCTGTAAACTTCCCTGGCTCCCTATCACCTCCAGAACCAGACATAAAAATCCTTTTAAAGTCCTTCATAACCTGCCTCCCCCCAGCCATTTTAACCTCTCCTTCCCTTCTTCCCTCCCCACACACACCCTTCAGGCCAGTGACACTTGCCTGCTGCCCATTCCTCCAACAAGGCACTCCTCCGTCTCGAACCTCCTTGCACTGATGTCCCCCAAGCTGGGAATCCTCCCCCGTCATCGCCTCCTTCTGGTTTCCCTGGATTCCTTCAAGTCCCAGCTAAAATCCTGCCTTCTACAGGAATCCTTTCCCCATCCCCCTTAACCTGATTTCCTCCCTCTGTTGATTATTTCCAATCTATCCTGATTGTAGCTTAAATGTCCATCGCCATTGGCATGTTCTCTTCCCCTTTGGCCTTAGAGCCCCTGGACAGCACGACTGTCTTACATTTTTTTGTGTGCCCAGCCCTTCACCCAGTGCTTGGCTTGCAGCAGGCCCTTCATAGATGCTTGCTGACTGCAGTGTCAGATGAAAGAACATCTGTGTGGCCCAATGGGAAGAGTCCGGGCTCTGAAACCAGAGGAGCTGGTTTCACATCCTGCCTCTGAGATTTTATGTGACCTTGGGCAGATCTCTTACCCTTCCTCATTTGGAAAGGAGAGGATGAACCCCAAGGCACTTCCAGCTGTAAATCTGTGAACGGGTGTGATGCAGAAGCCATGGGGGGAGGGGGCCCTTCTGCATCTGTACCAAGACTGGCTAGCCAGCCCATTAAATGAAGTCCAGGGAGAAAAATCCCTGGGGTCCTTCTCCGTGGCTTTCAGCCACTGTGAGCTGCCTACAGGTCTGAATCTACTCCCAGCTGTGTGTGGTTGGGTCTCTAATTTGAGGACTGACTGAAGGAAGAATGAAAGTGAATTCTCCCAGGGCAGGAAACATTTCCTTTGTTTTTAATCTCTGTGTCCCCTGGGGTCTGGGGTGGTTTGTTTTCAAGCCAGATCCCTGATTTTGGATTCCAGGTGGGGACTTCCACCCCGTGGAGAGGTGCAGAGAGTACTGAGAATTTAAGCCATTCCTGCAGGATTACTGAGCCGGCATATTTCAGAAACAGGACTTGAACCCAGGTCTTTCTGACTCCCACAGCTGGTCCTCTATCCCCTAGCCTTGCTGTCTCTCATAAGCATGTAGTAGGGGCTTCATAAATGAAGAACTGAACTTTGTGGGGAGGGGAAGATGGGTCATTTTGACTTTGTAAGAATCTGAAATGTAAATGAATGAGGATACCTAACCGCCTAGACTCTCAGGGGTCACCTAGCCCTACCCCGAAGAGCCATCCCACCCAAGCCCCTCCTCTCCACACACCCACCCAAGTCGGGGGCTCATGCTTACACACCCCTCTGATGGGAGTAGACCTCCCAGTGCTCTACCCAAATACCGTTGTTCTCTTTGACTGAAAAGATACTGGACACTGGTGACTGAGCAAGGAATCGGAGACAGACCCCTGGTTTAAAGCAAGAACTCAGAGCTCCCGCTGGCTCTCTTCTGACCCCACAGATCTTATCTGTCTCATAACATCCCTAAGCGGTGGCGGGCTCAGGATGGAAAGGAGCCAGGGACAGCCCTAATCCACTTAGAAAGACCATCTGGACTGAGAAGTAACCTCTGGAGGAGGCCGGGTAAGTGCATTACCCATTCCGATCCTATGTAACCCTGCGGGCACCAGTATTCAGACGAATGCGTGGAGGGGGGAAAGGTATTAGGTTATGAAGAGTAATCAGGTTTATAAATAGAAGCCTGCGGGCTGAGCCAGTGGAAAGAAACCATCTCCTTCCCCCACCCGGCTAACCCCTGGTTTTCCAACCAGCTCCCAAGAGTTTTGGTGGTATCATCATCAGACCACTGGAATCCTAACCTCGACTTTCTGCTCTTCTTCCTCTTGGTCTAAGAATTTATTAAATTAACAGTTGCCAATCCTTGTGGATTGATTGACTCCGAAGCTAGCTTGATCTGAGATCCTCTGCAGGCTGGGGGGCTTGGAGTCTGATATATGTCTTGGCTGCCTACCCACCTAGCCCAGTGGTCTGTGCCTAAACATTTACTCATGTGCCATACAAAGACAAAAATGAAGTAGGCCTTGCCCTCAAGGGGCTTCCATTCCACTGTACACATACATGTAAATACAAAGTAAGGGAATGGGAATTTCAGGGGTGGGAGGGTATGAGAAAGTAGTAAGAACAATGGATTTTTATCAGCTTTTTTTCCCAGAGGGACACCCCTAGTTCCAACCAAAAGTTTTGGCCCATGAAACTTAAGCAGCTCCAATTTTAGATCAGCGCTTTGTATTTTTTTACTGATACTCCAAGGAGATGGATGGAACATGATTCTGTGAGGCCGGGGCGTGGGTCATGCTGGCAGCCAGCCCAGTGATGGCCTTGGTACTACACATTTTAGAAGGGTTTGTAGCGGACTGGACATCCAGGATTGCAGGTCCCTAAGCCAGAGGTGCCATCAATTTTTGGTACAACTTTAGGGGTCAGTGGAGTAGGGATGTGTGAGAATGTTATGTGTGGGGTGTGTGTGTGTGTGTGTGTGTGTGTGTGTGTGTGTGTGTGTGTGTGTGTGTGTGTGTGTGTGTGTGTGTGTGGTGGTGTGCACCCTCTGTATGGTTAAGCCTGGACATCTGTCTTAGCGTTTGTGCCCCGCCCTCTTCCCTAGCCAAGGTAGAGCAAATCACCCTCTAGACTTGTTAAACCAGTTCTTCCTTCCCCTTGGTCATGGAAAAGCACAGTCCCAAGAATCAGATGCTGCTGTTTTTTGGGCACATGTGGGTTAAGGTGGAGGGTGTCCAGGCACACTTGGTAGCCTGGGGAGTGAGCTCGGAGCCCGCCCGGGTCCTTCTCTGGCCTCTTACCAGCTCCCTACAACCTGGCCCACTCCCACTGCCCTGGGAAACTGCCTGTACAAGGGACCCATGGCCTCTTCATCATCTTCTGTCACTCCTCTTTCTAAATCTCTTTGCTATGAGTCACACTTCCCTCTATAAATTCTTTCTTCCTTCAGTCCTCCTAGATTACAGCTGGTTGATCTCTCCCCTCTGTTCCCCCAACCCCCTCTTCTCTCCCTCCCCCCCTTTCTCCCTTCCTGTCTTTTTCCCTCCTTCCTTCTCCCTCTCCTCTCTTCCTCCTTCCCTTTTCCCTCCCTCCTTCCTTTTTCTCTTTCTCTTCTCCTTCTCTCTCTCTTTCCCCATCACTCCTCCCCATCCCCACCCATGGCAAAGAGAAGGCACTCCTGGTCTCTGCAGAACCAGGCAGGGCGGATAGCATAATGGTGTACTAAATTTAGGGACCAGAACATTGGTCACTTTAACCTTAACATACAGCTCCTAAAAGGGAGAAGCCAGACCAGAGTGATGTGTGAAGAGCTTAAAATGGCGGCCTAAGCTAAGCTTAGTTTAGATCCTAGCTATAGCATTACACCGACTCTGGGACCTCCAGACAACTATTTCCTTCTCTGGGCTTCAGTTCATTCCTTCCTTCCTGCGATTTGTCCAGGGTGACACAGCCAGTGAGTATCATGTGTCTGAGGCCAGATTCGAACTCAGGTCCTCCTGACTCCAAGGCCGGCTGTATTCATTGTGCCACCTAGCTGCCCCTGGTTTTCTTTTTTTAAATCACATTAACCAGTGGTTTATTTTACTGGGTTTTTTTCATAAAACCAACTCCTTTTATTGATTCAATGGTTTTCTTACATTCAATTTTATTTCTTTTAATTCTTAGGATTTCCAATTTGGTGTTTAATTGGGGATTTTAAATTAGTTTTTTTTTTAAATTGCATACCCAATTTATTGGTCTGCTCTTTCTCAATTTTATAGGTATAAGCATGTAGAGATACCAGTTTTCCGCCGATTACTGCTTTTGCCGCATCCCATAGGTTTTGGTATGTTGTCTCACTGTTACTATTCTCTTTAATAAAATCATTATTATATTGAACCCAACTTCCCCCCCTACATTTCATCTTCTAAGCTTCTCTTGTTCTATTAAAGTCGTCACCATTCTTCCAGTTCATAGTCTTGGTATCACCTTCCACTCTTCACTCTCCCTCACCTCACTGATCCAACCGCTTGTCAAATCTTGTTATTTCTACTTTGACAACACCCCTTGGATCTGACCTCTCCTCTCCACTCAGAACAGCTGCTAGCCTGGTTCACCCGTCACCTCTAGATTATCCCAATGGCAGTTTCCTGCCCCAGGCTTCTCACTGCTCAAGTCCAACCTACATAATGCTGACATTTCCTTTATCGTAGATCTGACCATGTGGCTCCTTTCATCAGCCAACCCCAGTGGATTCATATCCCCTTGCCCTCTGGCTTCCAAGTGTTTTTTGTGTAGTTCTGGGATGGAAGAAATCACTTAGTGTAGCTGCTCACTTTTAGCCTGCTGCAATTTCTAGGTTTTTGCTGTATTAGATGAGGGGCAGGGGGGCTGATTTGCCTGTGTCCATTCAGGCAACCATTTTATTTTGGTCAGAAGTCCCCCAAAAGGTCTTATTCAGGCATGTCCACAGATTTCTATGGTCGTAATCTTGTGATTCTCCTAAGTTACACGTGACAGCTTGTCCTTTTGGAAAGGTATCACGGCACATAGATTGAGAACTGGAGTTGAAAAGTTCTGGGTTCAGATTCCATCTGTCACTAACTTTGGGATCTTGGACTAAGTCACTTAATCTGTTTCCATATCTATTAAATAGGGATAAACAGGCACGTATGGTGGCTATCTTACAGGGTTGTCATGAAGCTCAAATGAGATGTTTGTAAAGGGTGTTGCAAACTTTAAAGTGCTGTAAAAATGCCATTTAATCCAGTGCACAAATATTAAGTGCCTACTCTGTGACGTGCACAAATTCAAAAATGAAGTTGTCCCTGCCCTTAAGGAGCTTTCATTCTACTCCAGAATAAATACAAGGTTGTTTAGAGAGTGGACGAGGTGAAAGACCCATTCTAGAGAGAAAGCTAGGGCAAGCCTAACTACATTCTGGGTCATCATGGATGTGGGTAACTGCATTTCCACTTCTGACATGGAATTTTAGAGCTGGAAAAGACCTGGAATTTTACATCAGCCGGACTCATACCCTCATCTTAAACAGGCCAACAGAAGGGAAGGGCCTTGCCCAAAGTCACAATCAGAAGATCCCAAGCACCTCTGTCCAACACTCTATTTGTTCAGGGCTTCCCACCACACTTTGCTGCCTTAAAACAAAACAAAAACTTGTCTTTTGACGACTTGTGTCATCTCCCAAGGCCACCATACAAGTATTATGAGTGTATAGCTCCCTTAAAGGCTTAGCCCAACTGTCACACCCCCATCAACTGGCTTTTTTTCCCCTCATTCCTTCAGCTGTTAATGCTCCCAGACTGAAATTACATTGTATTGAGTTTCTAGAGACCAATCTGCGTGTATGTTTTGCTTCCCCCCACGAATATCTAAGTTCCTAAAGCACAGGAAATTTTTTTTTCTTTGTATGCTAACACTTAGTATTATGCCTGGCACACAGTAGGTGCTTAGTGAATCAAGAGTACCATTAGATTCTTATTTCCAAAGCTGGGTTGGTTATGCTAATGGATTAAATTAGGTTATACCGATAGGGAGATTTTCTTTGTAAAATACAAATTTAGAAAACTAAATTTTTTTTATATACCAGAAAGTAATATTAAAGCCTGAAATCATTTTCCCTCTAGGTAGAGAAAACAAGCATCGTTTTTTCCATGTTACATGTTCCACCAGACGTTCTGAAACTTGACTGAAGGAAAAAAAAATGTTTGTTTCTCTGGGTAATCACACCTTTCAGCCCCAGTCACATCCTGGGCACCCATCTCTAGATCCCAGCTGCATGGTCCTCTTAGTTATACTTGTGAAAACATTCCTCAACATCCTGATGATAGCCATTGGAAGAAAGGACACCCACCAAAGTTTTCTGGAATATTTTTGCGTGTCCGTAGCGCTCATTGACTTCTTACTTCTGGGGGGCCTCTCTTTCATAGCCTATTTCCAGGACTTTGCCCTTTGGGGCATCAGGTTTACAAAATACCACATCTGTCTGTTACCTCAAATTATGTCCTTTGCCTGCGGCTTCCTGCACTGCCCAGTTTTTCTTCTAGCCGGTCTGGATCACTACCTGAACATCTCGCAGACGTCAAAGGTCTCACGCTTCTGTCGGAACATCTTTTACTTCTTTTCAGTCATTTTCATTTGGATTGCAGCCCTTGTGTATGTCTTGGGAGACCCTGTCATCAACGTAAGCCTGAGCAAACACGGTCTTTCTTCCTACCAGTGCCCGTTCTACGTTAGCATTCAGAGCTACTGGCTGTCGGTTTCCATGGTGGGGGTCCTCCTGGTGGTTTTCGGGACTTGCTGGTCCGAAGTCCCGGCGCTGATTCGGTCCCTTCGCATCGCTTCCTACATGAATGAGACCGCCCTGTACTTTCCCCTTGCACCAGACTGGGATCATATGGTCATCTGTAAAAAGCAGCTCTTGATCAAGCTTCTGATCTGTTTTCTTGGAACATGGTTCCCATTCGTTTTCCTTCAGATCATCATTCTGTTTCTGGACATACGGATTCCAGCCTACGTGGAGATGAATGTCCCCTGGTTGTATTTTGTTAACAGTTTTCTCATTGCCACGGTTTACTGGTTTAGGAGTCATGAGCTTAAGGTAACAGAAACAGTTTTATACATGGACCCATTCGTCAGCTGGAAATTCTGCTTTATTCCATTTACAATTCATCATATGGAGCAAATGGGAAAAGCTGAAGCAGTAACAGTCTGTTGATTTGTTGCTGTGTTGGGTAATGAAAGCCCAGAGCTCATTTCACTGTGTGATCATCTTTGTAAATGGAGCAGACGAGGAAATGTGAGGGTGGCCATCCAAGGACTGGCCACACTGATGTTTGGGGCCATGAGCTGAAATGCACAGATAGGATTTGGATCCTGAAAATGTAAAGAGATTTCAATCCCCCACAATTCCAGTGAGTCAGTAACCTTTTTAGAATTTGCTAAACAAGAAATATTCTTTACACATTTCTTTAAAAGGCCACAACTACCTTAGTTTTATTCCAGGAAGTTTTGTACTTCAGATGGAAATTTGTTTCAGAGCTCAAAAATAGAGGTAATCTGATTGGAGAGACTGACTGACTATATTAATGTTTGTATTACCCAGGAACCAAATCCTTAGGTAAATCACAGACTTACTGACAACTCTGCAGGTCTTCATTAAACATTTTTAAAAGGATTTTAAAAAACCACGTCCTCTTATTTGATTGTGTTTGGGGGGAGGTGGAGAGGATGCAAGGGTTATTTTCAGTATTATGATAAAAAACACGCAAGCTATATTTTGAGAGGTAGCACAGCCAACCTCTAAGTCAGGAGCACCTGGATTCTCGGCCTTCCTCTGACGCCAGCTGGCTGTGTGACTGTCTAGTTCACTTTACTGTCTGTGCTCCCGGGAAACTAAGACCATAAATTATAGGACAGTTGTCCACCTGCAGTGGTAGAGAGGTTCCTTTCTTTGGATTTCTTAATGCCAATTATGTTGCAGATCTGAATGCACACAGCTGCAGTTGATATTTTTAAAATTATATTTGAATTGGTTTAATAATCTTAACTTTTAAGAAAAAGTCTACATGTTATTCATGCACTGATTGTTTTAAAAAAGGTGTCTCACTAGATTACAGAGGAATTCCTCGAGATACGAAATGTCTTCAGAGTGAATTTTATCACGGCTAACCTATTTTCTCATTTCCTTACATTTTGCATAGATATATCTCCATATGAAAATTTTTACATTGTGATAAAATAATAAAGACCCCTCAAAAAAATGAAAATAAAGTAATGACATTCCAGATAAAAATACTGGAACTGCCTGAGCTGGGGATTGTTCTGTGAGGGCAGCCGTAGGCCCCTTCCCTGTCTGCCACGCCCACTGCCTTGGCTCCTCAACCACCTGGGGATGGGGGAGGGGTGGCAGGGAGGGACAGGATGCAGTCATTCCTGGGGTCCAGCTTTCCATAGCAGCTGATCCTATCGACTCCTCTTGAAACAAACTGCAGCAATTAGAGAAAAAGCTGAGGTCTCACCTCTCCTCAACAACAAAATCAGGGACTTCCCTCGTGGCATGCAGTCCTCGTGACGAGAGAAGCCTGGCACGTCCTCATCCTGCCGAATAAATGACATGGAGATACAACGCTACAGCCTGCTAACGGTCTCCCAGGTGACATTCATTTCCACTCGTCAGAGGTCCTGGGCCAAGCTCCAGGAACACAGAAAGGTGGGACACAGCCCCAGCTCTCAGGGAGTGCGTGATCTAATCTAAGAGGGAAGCAACAATCAATTCTGCTACATGGGGAAGTGCACAGTGCCCAGGGAAGATTGGGCCAAGTGCTGGGAGGGAAGGAGGGAGAGTGAGAGCATGCCCACCTGGGATGGGGGTTGAGTGGCCAGGGGGGCTGCCAGAGCGAAGGCTTTAGAGCGAGAGAGCAGCAGTCCAGAATGGCTGAAATCTGCGAGAGGGACAGGATGAAGACTGGACGCAGACTGGACCCATACTCGAGAGCAGCCCCCCTGGTTCACAGAGCACCTGTAATCTACCCAAGAACCCACTTTAGATATTAAAAACTGCAGTGATCCTTTAGTCACACGTCCTAAAACGATGGAGGACCAGTGTTTGTGTATCACACTGAATGTAATGGATATTTAACAACTGTTCAACTAAAGGCCAAGTGCCCATTAGGAAGGAGTGTCATACTGCCTTATATTACCTAGAGAGAACGTCCCCCAGGGTCCAGGAAGAGAACCACATTAGCCTCATCATTGTAAAGTCAGAAGTTGCTGCTGAGGCCATCGGGTCCAGAGCCCTCTTATTTATGGATGAGGAAACTGAAGCCCAGAGAGGTTATAATACTGATCACCAGTCACACAGTGACTTGGTGTCTGAGAAAGAATTCAAACCCGGGTCTTCATGAGACTGTTCTCCCTACATCAAAAGGCACTCCAACTCCCTTTACACAGACCAGCTGTGGACCAGAGGTTCTCAGATCTTGCTGCCTCTTTCAACATAATCCGTTTCCTCTGTAACCCCATGAATTTTATGCATTTAAAAATAGTATTTGGAGAAAAGGAGCAGAGTCTAGTAGCCTGCCACGGTGTCCTTTCCTGTGAAGGAGTGTAAGCCCAAGGGAGAGGAGTCTAGCCCTGCTGCTAATGCTCCGGACAGGTGAAACAGGGACGTTCCTGGGCTGTGGGCTGCAGTGTTGATCCAGGCACCAAAAGCGTCTGAAAGACGGCCGTTTTTGGAGGGAGCGCCAACAAAGCGTGGACAGGCTGTTTCAGAGAACAACAGTGAGTAACAAAGCCCCAGACCAACTTTCCTCCCTGCCCTCCGCTGCTCTGGGGGCCTCTGTGTCTCTTTCCTTCCTGAACTGTGACCGGTCACGATTTGGAACAGAGGGAGATTCTGCTATCCATAATAACGCTTTAAGGAGGTGCCTCTCTGTGCCCCTCTCCCCCAGTTTAAAGCAGACGAGGTTAATCTTATTGTACCTGTCTCTTAAAAAAGCTGCTTTTTACTTCTGTGTGACCTTTTGAAGAGAAAAGGATTCCCTTATGATGGACAGCTGGGTGCCGGGCTTGGAGACAGGAAGCCTCATGTCCCTGAGTTCAGATCTGGCTTCAGACATTTACTAGCTGTATGATCCTGGGTGAGTCACTTAACTCTGTTTCTTTGAGCACGATCTTTTTTTTTTTTTTAAACAGATGAGGAAGAGGAAACAGAGACTGATTAAGCTACTTGAACCCTGTTTCTTCCCAAGAAAACCCAATGGGATCATGATGAACATGATGGATAGATACAAGGATGAAATTCAGCACACCAGCCAAATGGAAAGAAGTGTTTATTTATGAAGCAATGAACTTACAACTGGTCTACGATATATTATTGCAATATAAACAATATAAATAAGTGATTTTGTAGGCCCACTAAGTCTCTACCCAAACCCTTGTGAGGAAATGTTACAATAATGTTCTATACGAAAATGTGCAGGTCCCAAAAGGTGCAATTACAAGCGAGTTTAAGCAGCAGAGTATAAGGTGCTTCCGTTCAATAGCTGTGTTGCCACCAACAGACACATGAATGCTAAATTTTTACTTCACTTTTGCTACAATCCACAACAAATATGAAACTCTAAAGTTCATTCACATGCTACTTGTTAATATGAAAGTGCTTTTTTTTCCTTTTCTTTAAAAAAATACATCAAATGGACATAATCTGTTTTACATAGATCATGGTGTGCTCTTATACTGTAAAATTATTTTAACTTCATTTTCAGGCTATACATTTTAAAAGTTGAGCTATAGACACTAATCTAATTATCCTATTCAATGCTAAAACTATCGTTTCATTTTCTGGTAAAGAATATTCCAATACAATACATGGTAAAGAATACACCTATATATAATTTTAACATTTGCTTTTTGCAAATATATTAAAATGTCTTGTTTTTTATAGATAATTTTACATCTCATGACGCTTTGCTCATCCTTGCTGGATCACCCATCCCATTATGAGGCTTTTATAATATAAGTATCCTGTTGCAGAACAAGGGGAGGAATGAGCTCAGAATGTGCTTGAAGCTTCCTTGCAAACAGCTTTAAATGGAGTTGTAAAATGTGTTGATTCAACAGGAGGAGGCAGTGCACTGTTTGAAGCTTGAAATGTTTGGCACCACCATCTGTATCCATCCCTTTACACTGATTGCCATAATAATGAACCTCACTTTACAGAGAAGAATTTTTTTTTTGCTTGTGAGAAAATGGACCAAATATTTGTACAAGGAGTTTGAGAATCTAGTCTAATCCTAATTCATATATGCTGAAAATTAGACATTTTAAATACCGTGCTGGATCTATGCAATTTAGTGGGCTTTTGAAAAGCTCAAAATGACCTTGCCAAGTACAATCGGATGCACTAGACAGTATAAAAGATTAGATTACAGGTGAAGATCCACAAATGTATAAACTGAAGCTTTTAAAGATAATTTCACATTCGCATCAAGTAAGGGCAAATGAGCAAAAGGTTATCCCATAAAACCTGGGTTTCTACCGTATGCCTTCAATGCCCATTCTGACAGACTCGGCCCTCTCCAGAGAGGGAGAAGGAGAAGCGGAGGCTGATCTCAGTAGGAAATACTCCTGTGCTTCCTGGCTCCCTGAAGGGACCTTCTATGGGATAATAAGGAAAAAAACTGGGGCACTTTAAAATAACTTTCCATTATTCATCCATTTCATCCTTTTTCTTGACTTTATTCTTGAGGTTTGTAAAAGTTGCCAGACAGGAATGAAATGCAATGACTTACTTCTTTTAAAAGTACAGTTGGCCAGGCCGATGCTTTTATTCAGAATGGCAGTGTGTACACAGCTCGGGGTTAAGTGCTAAAAATAACTCTGCCTAAGGAATACTTTTCATTCAATTTTGTTTCTCCAATTCAAGCCCCTAGCTTTTGTAACTTGGTTTTGTCATCTCACGTAAGCCTTCTCGACCAGTGGGCCAGGAGCAGCTCGGTGGTTTCTGCCGGCCCCACTTCCACCTCTGAAGAATGCCCTGCATTCCACTTCTGTCGTCATCCCTTGTAATCTGCTCAGTATTCAGCAGCAGACCCAGTCACCCTGCTGGCCACTCAGCAAGGACCCCACCCACGTCAGTAAAGCAGCAGTAAAGTACGTCAAGGGAAAATGCAACTAAGAGACACCAACCAAAGGGCGTGTTTGCATTGCTGCCTAACACTTTTTTAAGACAGACTGTTAGAAGATGGCAGAGCATAATGCTGCAGGGAGCAAAGCCTCACAACACCCCTCAAAATTAATATAAACTGAAAAAAGAACAAAACCTTCAGAGAATCTCAAAATAAAATTAAAGCTCACCAAAAAGATAATGATGGAATGGAAGAAAAAGAAAAAATGCACATAGGAGTAACAACCTAAAAAAACATTCATAGATATTCAAGTGCATCATTCCATATTCATTCAAATAATTAATGGAGGAATTAAAACTAGCAAGAAAATTAGAAAAATTAGACTTAGCAAATTACAATGTTAAAAATTCTCTCTGTAGCAGAACTGCAGGGTGCCGCAAAGAAACCACCTCGGGTAGAGATAATGGAAAGACTCACCAAAACCAAGACTAATTAAAGCCTGAGGATGGGCTAACATAGCAACAATAAGGGAGCGGAAGCAGGGAAAACAAGCACAGAAAACAAATAGAAGAAGAGTAACTCTCACAAGAACAAGATCAGTCCGTGATAAAAACCATTTCCTACATTTTGACTTTTTCTTCTTGACTCACACAGTACATCTGGCAGGTGACCTAATGACCCAATGACCTAAGCTGCTGCCCAACTGAGAACACAGCCAGGCCCTTCCATTTATCTCCACATAGTTCTCAAACCTATCTGACCTTGAACTCTCTTCTCTCCCGGTAGAGCAAATGCACGTAAATTTTCATCTGCCATGATGAACAATGCATTCACGGCAAGGTACATGCATTATACAGCTCAAAATACCAATGGTGTTTGGAAAAATGACCTCGTGAACTTGTTTGTAAATGTTTGGGTGAATCTCTGTTAGCACTGAGACTGCCAACCTGTGGAGTGTAAGTCATGTCTATACAAAACATGGACACTAAATAAACTCTCCTAACCCACAAAAAGAACCATTTAAAAAAGAAATCAATGAATTTACAAAATATGCCATTTTATGACCTGTAACCAGTCTAAGACTGTTTCCATTCATCACTGTTACCAGCATGAATAGTTTTAAAGAAATTACTTGGCAACAGTTTAGAATGGCTAAAAATATGAACAAAAAAGAAAAAGGAAAAGTTAATTTTTAAAAAGTTTAAAAAGTGGACAAGTTTCCTTAACCACAAGACTTAAGCTGAAACATTCTCCTGATGTCAACATGAAAAATGGAGTTAATTAATTCCGCACATCTTCAGTAAAAGCCTTGATGTTCTTACTTCATTTAATTTAAAAATCTATGATAAAAGTCTATGGATTCAATAATGATTATAAAGTAGTTTTTAAGCCAAGAAACTATTTTAACTATACATCATACACATTAACCTCTATGATGACTACTTAAACCATCATCACTATGAGGCTGTTATGAACCTTAATATACTCTGTGTGTGTGTACATACATACATACATACATACATACATACATACATACATACACATATATATTATTTAGAAACATCATAGTTTAAAACTATATGGTACCTATATATAATGCTTTACATTTAAACCCATTTTACCTTTACTCTATTTAAAACATTGTATTTCTAGTTGGCTACTTTTTAACATTTTAAATTCCCCTGCACGGACACTTATGGCTCTGTTTACAGAAACGGTGTACCATTCCCTGGAAAAACAATAACTACACCTTTGAAAGGTATTCCAAAAGAACAGGGTGACAGTGATGAAAGTATTATTCTGAAGTAAAAGCCCCTAGGCAGAATCCCATTCTATGCCTTTTATCCTACACTACCTTCCGCACCCCACAGCGGGCCACCATGTCATCATTATCTTCTACAAAAATTTTAGGAGACAATAAGAGGAGGCAGTTAAACACAACAGGCAAAATGATCCCACAAATCTCTACCTTTGTGTGAAAGTAGGCTTTGCTCAGTATCCAAAGAAGGGCATTTTCAGAAAGGAAACAGGACTTCCAATGCTAAGAAGGAACGTTGTGCATTAAGGAGGAGGGAGGGGAGGATTTGCAGCTCTCAAAGCCTGGAAGGGACCACAAAGGAATTCACAAACCTGTTTTCTCTAGGGTGGGATGATACTTTTTAAAAGTCACACAAAAACCATAACGAAAAACTTCGTAACACAAGATAGTGCAACTAAGACCAATTTTACTGCCAAAGTGCCTCAAAGCAGCGAATTAGGCTGCCACCTGGGAAGAAACTGGGGAGCTAATTTTACCGACACAATCATACTCATTCAGGGAAAAGGGAGGCTCACATGGAACTCAAAGATGTTTCTTACAAATTGGGCATCTTTTAGCAGTCTGGTTAAATTTTAATAGGCTTAAAATACTGTATGTTTACTGATTTTTAAAAATCAGATTTATGAAGAGGAACTCAAAGGCAAATACTTGCCAAATACTTATATCACTGAATACTACAAGTCTTCTATACACTTCCTGAATTTAATAGGTTTTACTCTGAAAAATCAAGTTATTTAGCAAAATACAGAGAAAACTGAGGTCTTTTCAGCCCATCACCTCACAGATACAACTACAACTTAGCATCAAAAATGCCATCCTAGAACCTGAAACAATCTCGTTGTATGAGATGGCTTAAACTAATTTTTGAAAGTCTGACACATTAAAAATTGCAAAAATTAAGCTCTGAGTGTCAGAACTTCTCTGCTGTAGTGGCTGTCATCTTTTTCCATTTAATGTTCCAATAATGTCAATAACTCCTAGTAAGATTACATTAAGCATCTTTCCTTTGCTCTCATTCAATTCCTACTCTGAAGCCTCAACGAGGCATGAAGGTGACTGGGACACACATTTGGCAGTTCCTACCAAGTCCAAAAGCTTGAAGGACAGGTGAGTATATATTGTGCCCAGAGGCCAGCTCAAGTTTGGAGAGGCGTGGTCAACAGTGATGAGGGCATGGCATCGTGATGTGCCCAATGGAGGCAGCATCCACCTTGAGGAAAAGAGATCCCTGAAGTACTTCAATTAAAGTATCCTTGCTGATTATAGCTGATTCCTGAAGAGTGGAAGTGGGTATCTAGATGACCCCTCAGGCCCTTTCCAAACTTTTAATCTATAATCCTGTGCACTGTACTCTAGTTTTTGAATCAAGGATTTTTTTTGCCAATTTTCCCCAGCACCTAAACCCCCCCCCCCACACACACACCCCACCCCAAGAAATACAATGAGCAAACAGTTTGCTTAAGTGGGCATGTCTACACTTTGCCCAAATATTTTACTGGAGGCTACCCATCACTACAGTCTGAAATTTCTTTCACAAAATCCTCTCTTTAGGGTTTTTATGCTGAAGAGACTAGGAATTTTCCAGAATGTGACAGGTGAGTGAGAACCTCTCAGTCCATTCTCTGAGCTCGATGACAGTGGCCAGTAAGTAGGATTTGTTCTCACAATTCACCAATCCTAAGTTGGTCACTAAAGCCTGTGTGAGGAAAGCCCACCAACAGCTCCTGAGGTGCCAACACACTGCTTCTGGCCCCCACCTCCCTTTTAAGCAGCAAAGAGCAGCAAGTTCATTCATCTCGTCATTTCGTGAGCTAGATAGGACTCTAGGAAGATGCTACCAACTATCTACACTGGCTTAGTCCTGAACTGGTTTGAGGCTGTGTAAGCATCTCTATCAGTTCCTCCACCACAATCATCTCTATGTTGCTTAAAGATTTTACTATATTTCACTAAATGAGACACAGCGCACAGTGTCAGATTTCATCCTAAGCATGTTTTTGAATAGGAGGCTTATGATAACTTCAGAGAATTGATGCGTCAAAAACTGTTCGTGTACTTGCACACCACTTCAATCTGTTCTACTGTTTCAATCCACAAGAGAAGCTGAAAATAAACACTGGGATGCTTGAAAAAAAAAAACACCCTTTGCATTGAAGAAACAGGTGCCACATGACTCCTCCATTTCACAGTGAGGGAGTTTGTTCTGGGCACCTGTGCTCCATGTGATGTTGGCTGAACACAGTGGGAGTTGAAACTCCCCAGTTTCCCTTCTCTGTCCTCCTCATTCTCTGTTTCTTTTCACCAGCACATCTCTAACTCCCCTGACCGGCACTGCCCACCACTCTAAGAGTAATTGGGGCCAGGCCAGTTTAAAGGCACCATCTGACGACAGCAGACTGGCAGCCATAAAGACGTTTCAAGATGGTGCTCTCCTCGTGCTGCACCACACACCATGCATTGTATGAGATCTGCACACACACATCTTAAAAGTAAATTTTCTCTCCCAGTTTATCATTTCTTCCTCAAGAACAATTCACAGCTTAAATCAGGCAAGAGCTCAAATTATTTTTGGGGGGAGAGGTGGGTGCAAATTGAAAAATATATGTGTCCTTGAGTAGCTCACCTGCACCATTAAAAACTCAGAGACAACAGTACTCTAAGATAATATAAAATTAATTTACCTACAGAGCCAATTCAGAATTAGATTGCTATGCTTATTTTAAGACATGGAAGAAGGTAAAATCTTTTGTTTTATGTTTTCTATGTATTATGTAGGTGCAAAGCTATGGAAGTTATAATACCTAAATCATTCAGGAAGAAACAGTATCTGTTGAAAGCAAATGAGCCAATTCTCCTTAAAGTTTGTTTAAAGAAGCAAATGTGTGGTTTATGTTGAAGTTATTGTTTTGTTTTGTGAGAAAAGGGAAGATTTGTTATGAGGAGTTAAGTAGCTCCAGGTGCGTTTGGAGCAAAGTGCTAACCACGGCTAGTGGGTAATACTTTTTGATGGTTACTCAAGAAAAACAGCTGACTACAGCATGATCAACACCACCATACTGCTATATAGCATACACACTCTCACACACTCTCTCCCTATATACATATACATATATGTGTGTGTATATATATATATATGTATGTATACATGTATATAAAACACCATACAGCTTAACTACCTGGCAACATGTCCCAAGAGGCATTCTCCAATCTCACAGGATTGCTCTTAGCTCACTGATCCAGAGTGTGACCAACCAGCTGGTGCCTAAATCATCTCAAGCACAGACAGAGGACAATGAACTATGGCAAGAAGCAGTCAGTGTCTCCCCCAATGGTGGCAAACTTCTGACACTCAGGACCCTCTCCCCTCCCCCTCCCCCATCTCCTTTTCTCCCCACTGCTCTGTGCAGTCAGGGAATGATTCAGAGGTAAATCTAGTGGGGAGAAGGGAAGGAAGGAAGGGGGGGAGGAGGCATTTTAAAGCCAAATAGACAACTTTTCTGGGCTGCAGCTTCCTACCACTGAGCATAATGAGATTACACAGGTGTTCTGCTTCAAACTTTCACCTACTAATTAAAGGTTTGATAAGACAAAAAAGCCTCCATTATAAACTACTGTAGGCCAGGAAGATGAGCCTTGCTATTCCTAGACAAAGATAACTATCAGTAAGCATTTTTTTTAAACATTATTACAACACAAAAGAATCCCAAAAGATTAAAAAAATTACCCTCTGTGTTTCTGTATAAAAATAACCTCTAAGGTACACAAAGCCAAAAGATAAATATCTGTGATATCTTTAGTCTTATACTAGCTTAAAGTAATCTTTCTGAAAAGAGCACTGGAACCAGCTGAAACCCTGGAATTCATTTTCACTGCCCAACTGAACCTATGCCAGATACCTGCATGTGCTCCCTCAAAAGAGCCATATAAATTCGTCCCGGGCAACAAGGACAGGGCTGTTCGCACAGTGAGGGAGGATGAGAAAATCAATACATGGTACTTTGCCCCAAGTGTCACGTGACTATAATTAAAAAACCAACAACTCCATTTCCAAAATTTTGTGATGTGCACGCGCACCACGTGTGTGTGTCCATCTCTTATTTACATACATATATGCTCGTGATTTATCATTATTATTCAACAGAATTTGCACTGCTTTCTGTAACACTGCAGAACTCTAACTTTCTGAATTGGGATATTTGAATTTTTAAAACCCATTTTGTCCTTGTGGCACACAAGAGCAGTTCATAGCTCCGATGTTTAAAAGCCAGGAACATCCAGGAGTTGTCGCCTGGCAAATGCTATGTCAATTACTAAAGGAAAAGGAGAAGTTCCGTTCTTCCTAGTACCGATATGTTGCTCCATTACAAACATCCCCAAAACAGCGATGCAGCTTGCCTGCTCGTCGTTGCTGCCTGCCTGGCAGTGCTGGGGCACTAGTCCATTGAGGCTCAAGGATGTTATGCCTTCCAGCCCGTGAACCCAAAAAGCTGCAGCGAGCTGAGCGCTGTCTGGCTATTGTTAACACTGCCGGATCAGTACTTCTGCATTTTGAAGAACAGAATGGGAAATTTCCATTTTCTACTATACATAAAATTATCAAAAATACTATATAGAGCTTTTATATTACATAACTCATATTACCCTCGTGCACTTAGTTGGCAGCTTTTTTTTCTGAATAATTTAAAACACATTCTACAGCTTACCTTCCCTATGTTTTTTAAAACATCTCTTAGCTGGGGGCAAGTATTATAACTCCATTTTGCTTAGAGAAGCAGCACGGAAAATTACTTTTTTTCTCAGCCACACAGTATGTCAATCAATGGTGAGTCAAGAAAGAACTCGAGTCTCCCAACTTCTAGTCCCTGTGAAGACAACAACCCTCTCCAGGGGGTTCACAAGCCTGGAAAACTCAGAATGAATGTTCTATGACATCATTTTTGATACTTCTATCATTGCTGCTGACACGTTCTTCTATTACCTGAAACTTGCCTTTGAGGCCAACCTAAATCCGGCCGAAGGGGAATCTGAAGAGGATTCACTTCCATCAATCCATGCACCAAGCATCCTCCCCAGCACATTCTATACTACGGCTGAGAGTGGCTGTGCATCCTCCTTTTCCTTGTGCTACCCTCTAGCTCACCATGCCTTCAGGGGGTATCTGTACTTCACCAACCCATAAGATTTCTTTTAGGAATGTTGGCTTCTTGGAAGCCTTCGTAGGTTCCTGGATCTGGAGGAGAGGGTATGAATGCTGTGAGAGATTTCAATGTATTTTGCCCAACACTGCAGTAAAAGTAACCTGTTGAGTAGACATTAGCTTACGACGTTACAAATTTGAGAAAAGCAAAAATGTCATCTCAAAAACCTCACATTCTTGTTAAGATTCTTTCAGTGAATTGATCCGTGCACAGATTTTCAAGGCGGGGCCTAGCTTGATATTCATTGCACTCATAAGGTGATCCTCTTTTAATAAGAGAAGGGCTTGTCCATCAATCTCCTGAGCTCTGAATTCATCTGCAATATCTTGACAACCTGTAATTAAGAGCAGAAGCAGCATGTTAGAAATAACACGTACATCAGACATAACATTTCACTTTTTTGGTGGGGGGGCACTAAGCAATGGGGTTAAGTGACTTGCCCAGGGTCACACAGCTAGTTAAGTGCTATGTTTCTGAGGCCAGATTTGAACTCAGGTCCTCCTGACTCCAGGGCTGCTGCTCCATCCACTGCGTCACCTAGCTGCCCTGCACAACATTTCACTCTTAACAGGGACTAAGATACTGCCAGGTTATCCTTCAGTAGGTATCTGCTGAAAAACTAATGAAATGCATCTACGACATTCTTAGGCTCTGAAAGGGAGGGGGGAAAAATCACATGATTGTGATGATGGTATTGTAAACAGAATAATTAATTCCAGGTACTTATGAAATGAAGCAACTTTTTTTGGGGGGGGGGGTTGAGGCAATTGGGGTTAAATTACTTGCCCAGAGTCACACAGCTAGTGTTATGTGTTTGACGCCGGATTTGAATTCAGGACCAGTGCTCTATGCACTGCACCACCTAGCTGCCCCAATGAGAAAATTTTTAATTTTTTTCCATAAATGGCTAAAATGACTTTTAAACATTGTACACAGCAGCCTTGCTCTAAAATACAGCATAATTCTGTTGGTTTAACAACTCCATTAGTGGAGTTCAGGCACAAGGCAGAAAGCGAGTGGGACATAACATTGTTTTTAGGACTATACATGTCCCTAATGCAGCATGCCACAAAATGTTAGTCATAACGAATGAACTTATTTTTGGATGATAGCCATTTCATTGAAAAGAGGACTAAAACATCAAAACATCTGCATTCCAAACCCTGACTCAGAAGAAGTCGCTGCTTTCAAAGCCACAGAGCTCTGCGGCCATTCTCCCTTACCCTGTCACATGCACAGCAGACAATCATCAGCTAATTACATCTCAACAAGATTCCCTCTTTCCCCCAGACCAATAAGAACTTATCTAGCTGTTGGTACCACTGGAAACAGACAGCACTTTAAGTCAGCATGGATCGCCTGTCCCACAGCTTAATGAGCCCACCTGATGATCACCGCTAAGTATGATCACAGTCACGGGAGGTAGCAGCACCAGTATGAACCTGATCCAGATTTAACCGCAGTCTGCACTTCTGCAGGCTGGCCACCTTGAACAGGGCTTCTGTATGTCAAACTGATCTTTAGCCAAACAGCCAATCCCTGATAGTCTGACACCAAGTCCTAGTTTGGGTTCAATTCTGACAAATGCCTTATCTCTTCTTTCACTTTCCACAAGGAGAGAATCCAAGAGCGATAAGCTGAGAAGCCAGAAGAGCAGAGCAGCAGAACTCTGCAAGGCGAGGCAATTACAACATTCTAACTGCATCATTATTTGGGCCATTCTGATTAAAGACACAAAGTGACAGTGTACTTCTCCACTTTTAAAATCCAGCCACCATTCCTCCTATTGGTTCTAATTCTTTCTTACAACATGACTAATGTGAAAATACGTTTAATAGGAATGGATATGTAGAGCCTATATCGTATTGCACACTGTCTTGGGGAGGGAAAAGGGGATGGAGGGGGAGAAAAATTTAAAACTCAAAAGCATATGGAAGTGATCGCCGAAAACCAAAAATAAATAAATAAATAATCGAGCGGTTAAGTAAATAAATAAATGTTTGTTGAGTTGAAAAAAAAAATTCCAGCCACCTTTACAAGGGAAACTGCATGGAGAATCAAGGTAAGTGAAGCTGTTCCACTGAAGCTTTGCACCCCAGACAGTCAACAGAATCAATTCTTTTTTCTACCACAAGCTGCTTTTCCTCTCACAAAATTGCCTCACTAGACTAGATCAATGCTTTAACTCCTACTAAGACCATAAATCCTGTCCAGTTATCAGAACATGTTTCCCTTGTGTTCACCAAGTTACCATTCCTTTCTGTTTCTGGATTTTAATTGGATTTTTTCCCTTTCCTTATAAATCTTTGTTTCAATAACTCAGTCTTTTCTCAATTGACCCATTAGTCCCCTTCACACACATTTTTACTGATTTCCTCAACTCCTTACATAGAGAAACTATGGAGTTAAAATGGTGTTACTCACATCCCTTTTCCGTTCCCAGATAGAGCTCTCCACAAAACTGGACAGAGAGAAAATGACTAATCTTGCATCTACTTGTAACTTAGCCTTCATTTTATATTGGGGGGGCAGGGGGGAATGTAATATTCTTCTCTCTTCAGAAAAGAAAACAAGAGAAGAAGAGCTCAGCCTTTTTTCAGACGGCAGGCGCAGTGAGAGGGAACCACAATCCAAGATTCTAAGATTCTAAGATTCTGTGTTTGGGAAGAGAAGCAAGGAATTCTCCATGATGAGAAACACCTTATTACGTGTTCTTGTTCCTCAGTGTAAAACAATAACCTAATGAAAAACATGTTTTTCCAAAGGGATGGTAAACATATTCAAGAAATAATAAAAGGGTGAAAGTCAAGGAAAGCAAATTTCTGGGAAACAGTGTGATCTCAAGGGGCCATGGAGTCTTCAGTATCCAGGCTACAACTTTCTTATTCCAACCACAGGATAGGCTATACATTAATGTGGGATAAGCCAGAGAGGATAGAAAGTTATTTTTCTTAGAATTAAGATAATTTGCATCTAGAAACTAATTAAAGAACAATGAGTTTCACCAGTTTTTCTCCAGACAAATGGTATTTAGTACTGCTTGGGCACTGCATCCACTATGTTCACTGTTAAAACAAACATTGCTGATGCCTACGTGATTTTTGTGGTGTATACAAAATACAGACCACATCAGTGTATACACAGTCTTCTGTCTCCCTAGAAGCCGGTAAAAGGACCTGCAAATTAGTAATAAAACAATGACATCTCTTGACACATTCCTACTAGTCAAACTGAACTTTTGCATGTGCTGGAAGATATCTTGTCAACACAAAATCCCATTCCTTGCCTCCCCAAAATCCTGTCATCGATTAGGGAAGAAAAAAGAGATTACTTGCCCATTTGTACTATTATAATAGGAACTTCTTGAGTATAACTATGATTACCAATATGGTCACAGTCATAGCTACAAAAGGATGTGATGTGGCCAGGACCAAGACCAGCTTTTCTGAGCCTTCAAAAAAAAAGCAGACATGACGAGCGATGTGTTTTTCACCTGATGGGTCAGTGAGGACAAACTTAAGATCATTTGGCAAATCCCAAGAAGTTCATTACTTCAAGACTTTGAATAGATATCCTAAATCAATTTACAGAAAACAGAATGGCACTTAAGACCTCTGCTTTTCCTTGAGTAATGGAGTTGGGCTCACATAAGCTGCAATATACTCATGTTTATATGGAGAATAAAAAGATGAAACTGTTGGAACAAATACAAGGGGGCCTGGAGAAAGAAGGAAGAATGTTCTCAATTCTGAGAATGAATAAATAACTACTGATCACAAAAAAATTCTTCCTTTAGGACAAACTCATGTGGAAATACCCCTTCCTCAGAAAGAAAGCTATGCTGTTCAGAAAGAAGTCCCAAAGTGAGCTGTGCTGGAGCCACAAAGCACATGAAGAACATGTACTGTTCTGACAAGATCCCTTACTTCGTAAGCTGCTCTTTGAGGGCAAACTTTGGAGAAAGAGGCTCTAACTAATCCCCTAAGACAAAGTGTAAATGGAAAATTTTTTACCTGAACAAGTCAGAGTCCCTTATAAGCAACTCCCTCTCCCAGAAGGCAGGACAGAATCAAAGTGAGCCATTTGATCGAAGTGGAGAAACAGAATTCTGAGTTATCAAAGGTCTAATATTAATTCCCAACACCTGACAACAAAATAACTAGATCATTACTAAGAATTATTAACAATAAGAATTAGTTTGATTTCCCTCCCAGTGAAGCTAGTGGGACAACTGTTAGCTGTTATAAAGGTGCCAGCCTGCCAGTCATGGACATGGGGTTCCTGGAGTACGATGGACAGATCCCCAGGAAATTAGGGCAACAAAGCCCATGGTGTGTGAAAAGTGACCTATTACTTCCAATCCTGGAATACGCAGATCAAATGGAAGCATTCCAAACACCAGTTTCTGAGCACAATCATAAAGCCTAAGAGAAGATCCACAAGGTTTGTCTTAGGGGTTGTTGGAGCAACTACCATTTTTAACATTAAAAAACAGCTCCCTTAGCATCTGGAAAAAGAAACATCAAGCTGTCCCTCAAATAAGTGGTTCCTAGACCTAATTCAGCTGGGTGAGGTCACTCCTGAGGACAAAGGCCAAACGATTTCAAATGTGTTCATGGGCCACAGATTCCATTACTTGCACCAAAACCGACAACAAAACATCTACGCCGGTCTAAAACTGATAATATGTTCCACTGAATACAAAGACATCAGACGATGAAGAGACAACAGTCCTCTAGAACTCTGGTTCTATGCATCTACACACTGATTGCTCACCATTACTTACTGGCACTGAGACTCTTGGGATTGTGTTCAAAAATATATTAACTTCCTTCTAAAGGATTTTTTTTAAAAAAATCATTCTCTGTCCTTTTAGAGCAGGCTACTTGAGAAGGGTAGAATATTAAAAAAAATGACTTTCTAGAACAAGCTGGTCAGTTCAATTTGATAAGAAAAGTGTTCTTTCTCGGGAAATGTTATCAAGCTGGTAGATAAAAAACAGTAAGCACTTTCCAACAAGTATTTACTGCTTTTTTCTTGCCACATTTTACATATTTTAAATGTGATCTTGAAACCTTGGTTGCCCTTCACAAAGAATAATTAACTGTTGGACACACTGTAATGGTTCTGGCAAGCACATCTGCCAAAGAGGCCTTGTCTTCTAAAATGCCTGTGTCAAGAGAAACTTACATGATGTTATTATAAATACCAAAAGAGAACACACATCAGGAAGAAATGAGCTCTTTTTGTGAGCCATATGCACTGAACCAGGATAAATGGTAGGAATAGTAGATGAAAATTTCTTGGTCTCATCATCAACAAAGGCACAGGTTTCTGCAGTGACATAAATAAGCTAGCCAGCCCCCCCACAAAGGAAGCATATATGGGAAGGTTATTGTTGCAATGACAAAGAAAAAGGGCAAAATAAACAAGCTGATGAAAAGAGTACTACCCCACGTGACAGTGAGTGTGAAAAATGTAAACAAGAAAGAATAGCACATATTCACTCTAACAAGTGAACTGGAAACACTTTTGTACCTCCTAATTTAAAATTTCAGAAGCACATTTTATTTGAAAAAAATTGGAAGAAGTGAGCTCTTTGGGGAAAAACCAAGCTTGGTATTTCTTTCAAAGAAAGAAAAGTCACTTTATAGACTAAAGATCTTGATTGAGTTTCAAAAACATAAAAGAAAGGCATCTTTTTAAAATGATTTTTCCTCAAAAAAGGATGGAGAGAAGGAGAAAAAACTAAGGAGAGGGTATAATAGAAAAAGAGAAGAGTAGAAGGAAAGAATTGTCTGATTCAATCTCTCTACCAACCTCAAGAGAGAAATCAGACTGAAGAGAGAAGAGCCCCTTTACTGTCTTCACTGGCTGGGGTGGGGTGGGGGTGTCATTGCAGGAGCAAGACTAGTCAGCTTCTATCAGCTTGGGGGGGGGGTAGGAGAAAATACCCAGTTGTGCTGAGGGAATAAACAGGAGGAAACAAACCTCATTTAAATAACGACTGCCAATTAACACAAACACAAAGCACTTCAACAGACATCGTGTGCAACCAGTATGGCAATCTAACGCCATTCCTGGGTCATCTGCATAAGAAAAAAATGCGAATGCCCATCCAAAGACTGACCACCACATACCTGGCAGAGAATGGATGAAGGCCCACACTTCATCAACTGTCCATATTGATGGTTCTGTCTGTGCCACCGGGAGCAAGTCACTGTTGTCAGGCGCCTTCCGGAGCCGGCCCTCCCGCAGCTCACGCTCTCGTTCCCTCTCGCTCTGCCTTCGCAGACGAGTGATCATAGCAGTTGGCACAGGCTCTTCGTGAGGAGCCAAGCCTTCTTCTGCAGATGGATAAGTAATGGGAAGCTGGAAAACGCAGTACAAGTAAAATACAGCATTGTACTTTCCTTGCATGTCTGAAAAGGGCATTATAGAGGGAAGCAAACTTTCTACAGACCTGCCTAGGAAAATGTTCTCGTGGTGCCCCATCAGGTCCACTTGGACGACGGCCACTATGCACAACGCTTGGATTATCAGGCTTCCGATTCCAACGACTAAGTGCAAACTTCTTGGAACAGCTAACATTGTACCTGAGAAACCCAAGCAAGCAAAATACATTCAATGATTCAGAATAAGAGCAGATTTTTATTGCCAAGTACCGCTTGCAAATTAAGTAAATGTTATTACTAAAGTACCATATACTTTTAATAAATATTGAGACCTCACTATACATAACCTCACCATTAAACAAAATTGCCTATGTTCTTGGTAAAACCATGACACATCTCACTCTAATACAGAAAGCTTTTAACAACAGGGTAATTCTTGTTTTCCTCAACATCATTAAAACAAAATTCCTAACTGATATTAAATGTTGTTTTCCTCAGCTAGAAGTGGTGAAAAGGTTTAGAGAAAAGATCAAGATAATTATGAGACAGCATAATTTCCTTTAAAATGTTAAATAACTGGGGAAGAAAGATACAAAATAAATCTTAAGAAACTTTTCAAAATATGACTGAGACTAGAAAGTGAAAATGTTAACTAAGGCCTTCAAAACAGCAGGTGCTACATCACCCCCTACTCCAGTGCACATGTGATGAACTTCTGAAAGAAGCAAAGATAAATAATTTTTTAAAATGACAAAGCATATTTTTCATCCATAGACATAATTAAAATATTTTCAATTACATTTTACTAAAAGATACATAAACACATAGAGAATATTAGAATCATGAAAATCTGAAAGGTCCCTAGATGCTTTTGTTTTGTTTGATTGTTTTCCAGTACAAGGAGACAAAAGCAGTCTGGGAGGGACCAGTGATAACAAAATCAGCCCAGATCGTGTAGAGCTACTCAAGTGCTCTCCCCACCAAAATCCATCAAGTTCCTCCAAGTGTATGCACCTATAAACAATCTCTTTTTTTTTAAGTGGGAGGGAGATTAAAGAAGGAATGTGATATGAAGAAAGGAAGACAGAAATGTTAGTTCCCAATTCCAATTAAAATTGCCACTGATTAATATTCTTTATGGTATTCTTCAATATACAGAAGTAAAAAGTCTCACAATCACTAGAAGTCACTAAGGATTTCATCGGAGTAGTACGTAAATAGACAAAAACAATTTTCCTCAATTCATGTTTTTGAGTGAGAATACCAGAAATAAAAAATAGTAAATTATGGAAATAAATAGAGCATGCATTTTTTTCCCAAAGGAAAAATATGCACTAGGCCTGGGACTTTGATTATAACCTGTCCCTCCTCAAATATTTATATATCACCTGTTGTTAATTCTACTCATCTCTGGAAAGACCACCATAAAATTTTCTAATTTCTGTTATATGTATCCAAAGATGCTTACCTTTTCCATTAGGGATAAAGAGGGGAAAAAAAAAAGGAAAAAACCCCCAACCTCCTGGTTTTATTAGACACCTGTGATTTTAGCCCACAGAAAAAAGTCTCTTTTAATTCATACTTTGCAACATTTCCCACAGTGCCTCCAGCCCCTTTAAGGGCTAAGAAATAAGAGGGATGAAATTATGTTGTGGATAACCCTGGTGGCTCAGAAGTTTTGGGGAGGAAGGTAGAGAAAGAATGGGAAGGGTGAATATCCTGTTCCTCAAATATCACTTTTAAAAAACTACAAAAGCAAACATTTTATGGTTCCAGCTTAACTTTATTTTTCCAATATTTGTTTAAGCCTCTGTGCCAAAACCATATAATGTTTGTTTCTGTAGTTTTTTTTTAAATGATAATTCTTTTAAGTGAGGTCATTATAGCAGTTTGTTGTATTTCATTGTGTCATGAAGCAGCCAGAGGATCGATTTTGCTTACCATTATTCTTAATAATAAAGAGTTATTTTCAATCCCTCCAGTACTATTAAGTTAAAGGTAATTTTATGTAATCTTTGATGAAAAATGTTGGTTTCACCTATGTATAAATCTTGAACGGCATTGGCATTTAATAATAAACATATACATAGATGTTTATTTCATTATGAGGGAGGTTCCAGAATAATTTTTCTGGAATGCCAGTTTTTCTAAATGCCAAGAAACAAAGGGCATTTATTGTGTAATTTATCTAGGGTATTTCCTGTTGGAGTATTTTACTTTATATTTATTAGACCACTAAAGCGTGTTCACCAAATTTAAATCTGAAAGGATAAAAGCAAGTTAATACTGATTATGTACCTACCATCTTCAGAAAGAAGTGATAAAAGGATTTTTCACATTTAAAAACGTTCAGTTGAGTATGATCAGTTTTCAAATTATCTAAATTTATTATTTTTTTCATATTTTTGGTTCTTAGATGTTTTAAGTTACAATCTTCCTAATGTGAAGACAACACAAAAATGAAAAGATATTTTGATCTTAGTAAGATTAATTTCAGAATGTCATTTTAAAATGGGGGAATAAAGCAGGCCTCCTGCAAATACTAAAAAAATAAAGTCAAGCCAGGTTTCATTTCAGTATCTCAGTGGACTTCATAAACACTGTCTGGCTTACAGGAACTGGGGGGCTGGGGAAGGAGAGACTGTCAATCATCCTTCAGCATTAACACAGAAGATGCCCTTTTAGGCACTAATCTTTTCACCAAGCTATGACAATAGAGCATTTCATCTGCTGTTACTCCAACAGAAGTTATGATAAACACTACTACTATGAATATAGCATTTCTAAGTAGCAAATCTGATATCTGAATGTTTAAAGGAGCTCCAGAAAATGTCTAAATTATGATTATCCCTCTACACTCTCCCATTCTACACTTGCATCATTATAGATAAGTTTAGTTATGAAACCAGTATTTTTGTAGGTTTCTATATTTCAATAAATATTAAGACCAAAAAAATACCTTTTGGCACATGACATAGTGCAGAATCGTTTTGAACGTAGGAACTCATTAGCATATCCCATCTTCCCACAAAATTCACACTTGAGCAACTCGCTGTCCATTTCCTCTAATCCCTCTAAAAGAAAAAAGAAGAAAAAATTTCAAATATAACTGTGTTTTGTGAGACTTCAAGAGCAGGCAGCCTTGACCGCAAGCTGAGGTGCCCCGGCCGGATGAACGGCTCCACAGACCAGCCACACCGTTCTCATCCTCCTGCCCACGCGCCTGTCTAGATGAATAACCGTCACATTTTTAATGTGATGTTCATTTACATGAAATCAATTTAAGGGTTTTTTTATACACATTTTTGTATAACTTGGATTTTAGACTTAGCCATAGACCACCCTATCTGGAAGACCCTTAAGGATCACCACTATGGACTACTCTTAGAGAAGCACTCCTCATGAGTACACATGGCAGGGCAGCTAGGTGGCACAGTGGATAGAGCACCGGCCCTGGGGTCAGGAGGACCTGAGTTCAAATCTGGTCTCAGACTAGATACATGACACTTACTAGCTGTGTGACCCTGGGCAAGTCACTTAACCCTACTGCCTAGCAAAAAAAAAAAAACCAACCACCAAAAAACCAACCCCCCCCCCAAAATCAGAATTGGCCAAGTAGCAGCTAATGACTCTTTTCTTGCATGTTCATATTCATAAACCACACAAATCTGCACTAAGATTATTCCTCTGGTTAATACGGTTTTCACTGTGAATGCCAAATGGGCTCTTTCTGTGTTGTCCATTTTAACAAAGCTTAGTATAATGATAAACTCTCATTTAGATATTTTGAGATGATATTAGGGAGCCTGAAACGTAGAGATAGGGATGATATGTGCTCATTAAGAAGCTTGCCAGCCACTTACATCATGGTGTCACTGGTGAGACAGATGGTAAAATATTAAAGCAAGTGAAAGACAGCAAGAATGGCTAAAAGAATATTGAACAACAACACGCAGTTCCAAGAAACACAGTATTCTGGATGAGCTAACCAAAAGAAAACTACACTAAAAAGCAGTTTAAAGTCCATGCAAAACTTATTGCTGTAACAGTAATGAGAAAATCTTTCTTCAATTAGTAAATCTGAGAAAGAGCTCTGCCCAGGGCTACAGAGGGCCAGCAGTCCAGACCAGGCCTTTGTCCTTGGTCTTGCTCCCAGGTGACTGGGCTGCGTAGGCCTCAGGGCTTCCCCCTCAGCTGGGATGACAAGAGGCAGCCCAGAGACTTGGACCTTCCCCCAAGTCAACCCCCACCGTATCCCTCTCAACCACAACCACCAGTGACTGAGGGTGACGCCAAGGCTAATGAACTTTCTCTGTGACCAGGTGGACACTACTAAAGGCCCTTTGTTGCAGAGTACTGGCTCACCACAGCATCATTACACAGACAACAGTTCAGAATAGAATTCATGATTGCCAAACTCTAATAAAAAAAAATGGTGAGTGGGGAGAGGAAAAATCAACTGATAGTTCTGACATTTAAAAAATAACATCCTTCAAATTACCTTAAGAGTCAAAGAAAACAGAAAAAGAATGTCATTTTACAGCTCGTAATGATTAACTAGCAATACTGAATAAAATAAACAAAAAAATTAAACTTCAAAAATACAAGACACGACACATCCTATCAACAATCCTGACCACTGAAGGAGCCTCCTGACCACAGGAAAAAAAGGTGCTGAGGGAGAGGGTATGAAACGAATTTTGTAACAAAGTTAAAGGAAAGGAGGAGAGTCTAAACTTGAGATATTCATCACCCCTCTCCCTGCTTCATGCCTAGGTAAAGCCAAGGTTGAAACCTAAGACAGTACCAGAAACTACCTGAATTTTAACAAGTGTGCCTATATGCCTATCAAGAATGTTTTGACAGATGAGCAAACCAGAGATTTCATCAGGGAGAGTACTCCCTTGCCTGATATGGATCACAAGCCCTCTATATCTGATCCAATATTATTTTTGTCCATATTTCCTAATAAATCCTCCACAAATGTTCTACTCGGCATGCTGAAGCCCTTCCTTGCTCCTTCATGTCACAGGGTACAGCAATCTCTCAGGCTACCCATCTCCTTTCCACTGTGGTACTATCCTGAATGCTGAGGCAATGTGGCAGAGCAGAAAGAAAACTGGGTTTGAAATAGGAGACTGTGTATTCAAGGTGAGTCCTGGCTCTGCTACTGTGCACCTGTGCAACCCTCGTTGGGGCCCCCATCTGTTGGCCTGTAGAATGAGGTATTTCGACTAAAGGGGCTCTAAGGCCCCTTCCAGATGTAAGGCTGAGAAGCTCTAGTCTACCTTCTACACTTCAGGCCACGGAGCACAGACATACGAGAAACATGCTACAGATGCTGAGCATTTTAGTTCTCTGGAGACCACGGCCTTCACCACAGCATCCCCAAGAGATGGGCTTCTGAAGGAATGAGTGGTTTAGAATCCCTGACAACACTGTGCCCTGGTCCCACGGTTTTCCATTCCAATCTTCTCTTGCTCCTTCCCCCACTCTCCTATGGACACAGCTCATGGCCCATGCACAGGGCCTCTCCAAAATATACTCATAAAGGATGAACTCAGGTGCACAGCATCCAAGCCATGCATGTTCTCATCTGCTGTTCCAGGATCCCACTTAAGCCAGATTCTTTAGTACTACAGTGTATTTCACCAAAGCTCTGCCCTACATCAGAGGCTGAATGTAATTAATACAGTAGGTCAGCAGGTGTAGCTGAGCAGTGGAACTTCAGGTCCATGCCTCATAACCACTGACCATCTTCTTGCCTCTCTCTTACGCTGCTATGATGAAAGCACTCCGTGAGCCTCAAAGCCATATGTTAACATGGGCTTCTATTTCCACCTTTTAATAAAAGCATTGGGGGAACTTTATTAACACAGCGGATGTTTCTCCTGCCTGGATATTAGGCAGCACATCTCCAATCACGCTAGCCAACACATCAATGTTCATGTGGTTTGTTTTCTTTCTGAGAAAGAAAAGCAAAATGAAGACCTGAAGACTCACTCAGACAAGTTGTCACATGCACATACTGTACATCAAAATCACTGAGACCACATCAAGAAGCAGCTTCAGGGACAAATCTGTCCAGCAGTCTGAGCACTGGTGTCAAGCCAAGTGTGCTGGATGGTTCACCAAAGGTGTTCACCAATGACATGAAAGATATCTCGCACAGAATGGGTGGTTCTGGCTGAAGAATAGCATTGCACTAAGCTAGGAAGAAGACCCCCGCCCCCAAACAAAACTAAAGAATAGAGGCAATGTCACGGTTTCTTTGTGAGGTCATGATCACACACCACAGATCTAAAGCTGCAAAGGGCCTCATGGACGACACAAATGGCAAAGGAAGGTGGTCCATGGGGGGAGCACCCTAATACAAAAAAGGATCCACGGTTTAATTTCTCATCTAAAAGTACTGAGAAGAGATAAATTCTAAAACCCCTCTTCTACCACCTGAATGGCACTGACTAATCTGATGGGCTACTTGCTAAGAAAAACTGAAATGACCCCCAGGCCTATGATCTGCTCCACTGCAGAGAAGGAGTGCCCAATCATTCTGTGCTAAGTACCTATTTTTCATTTCTCTCAAGAGACAAAGGTATGTGATACACAAGGAGTAGGGTCACAGAAATACAGAAATCAATCACTGTTTAGAAAACTGACTCGGAATTGACTTACACGTTACGTATTTTATGCACCTGGACTAACGGGATCTTCTTCCTCAGTGACACTCCTGCACACCCACCATAATCCTATAATTGCCATGTATTATTTCATAAATATGTTGAGCAGACATAATAATAAAAACCCAATGATTCCCATGTTTCACCTACTTGTATACACAAGAGAGCACATCAGAAACACAATGGAGTAGGAAAATGTTTGTGTACATACAGTAGTTACTTCAGGCACAGAAAGGACACACAAAGCATGTGGGATCTCAAACTGTTTCAGCACATTTATTTTTCCTATTTTTAATTCAAAATAAAAACTTCCTTAGCTAAAGTGCCTGACCCAAAGAGGGCATTCTAGTGATTGAAATAAAAATATCTTAAACTAGGCCCATAAGAAAAATTTATAAATCAAGGTTTCTAATAATACTATGCTAACCTTCCAGCTCATATAGGAAACCAAACTAGGACAATATTAAAAAGAAACAAAAGAATACTTTTTTTGGAAGGGTGGAATTTCATTTTTCTAAGATTTGTAAAGGGGGAAAATGCTAACTCTTGAATGAAACGAACTTTTCCAGAAGCTAGCCATTCACATACAGATGTATAATAAATGGATAATGCTACAGGTGAAACTGAAAAAAGTGAGCAATTTCAACCATTAAAGCAAAATATCATTTATCCCTCGTGGCACGCAACTCATCTTAATAACATGCTGTAATCTGCTTGTGCCCCCCAGGAGTGCAGCATTTATTTAGAAAGAGACACAAGCAACCCAGAGATTCTAAAATGACCAAAGGAAAGCTCTCCACTGAGGATGGATGGGAGCACATGGACAGAATGAAGAAGGAAGGAGCATGTTCACATGCAGTGATGGATGGAGCGTCCACCAAAGAAAGCCCAGATTCTTCAAAGCAACGACACCAGAGAGCAAAGGAACAATCTGAGAGGGAATGGACAGGCGTCAAATCCCAAAGGTCAAAAAGAAAAAAACCCACTGAAGACTTATTCTAAATGCAAGCTACAGACCTTCAGCAGCCATGTCTTCCATCTCGGTGTCCGATGAGTTATCAGCATGTTTTGTATTGTTCTGGAGCTCTGCCTGGACACACATGCCACTCATCACTGGGGTATCCAAAAGGGGCCTTTTTTTCACAGGCTGTTCTACTAGCAAAGATGAACGACTTACCTAACATAAGGGAGGAAAAAAAGAAGTAAGATATCTTTTGGTCAAATAAATAATTTCCCCAAATTTTGAATGATGTAAGAAAAGCTATTTAACTGTTCCTACCCTCTGATCCACAGATCCCACCACTACCTTTACACCCTGAGAAGGTTAAGGACAGAACAAAAAGGTCCAATAGGTCTGAAAATATTTACAGCACAATTATCTGTAATAGCAAAAAGATAGATAGAGCAGTACATGCTCACAAAGTGGATAATGGCAGAACAAATGGTGGCGTATGGATGGACTGGAAAATTACTGTCCCAAGGAAGGATAAACACAAATGATGAGAAGCATGGGAAGATTTGTATGAACTGACAGTAAAGAAGGCAGAACTAAAAGGACAGCATACAGAATACTACTACAATACTGTAAACAAGGATGAAAGCACTAGAATAGTGAAAGTCAGTCACATTCAGTGGCCAAGTGAGTGTGGGCTCTACATGACGGGGTTTGAGCCCTACTCCTTCCTTTATGAAGAGAAAACTCTAAGGGCTCAGACTTCATGCCTTGTTCAGGGAGGAAAGGAGAGGATGGGAGCTGTGTACTAGTAAACAAACAATCCAGCAAAACAAAAACACAACAATTTTTTAAAAGCTAATTTCCTCTTTCCATATCTAGAAATTGATTTGTAGTTTTATTCTTCCTGCTTTTAGACGAGGGAATATTCAAGACAGCTAGGGACCTGTGACCCCTGAAAGGTCAGAAGAGTGAGCACTCTAAACCCCAACTCTGCAGGAGACCCAGCCCAGGGTCTAGGCTGTCAATTGTCAACTGTCAATAAGAAGAGCAGTCTGCCTGAGACAGAGCAGCAGTAGCAAAGATGAGGCCTCATCCACCCATCAACTACTCTGTATTTGGAATCGAACTTAGAAAATGCTAGGTAAAAACTCCAGATATGGGTGCCATGTGCTCTCAAGGTTTGGGAATGTTTCTACTACTGTTCCTGCTACATCTTCACAGTAAATATTTCTCTGAAAAACCTAGATGATTTGGGCTGGTTAAATCAAACTGGGGCACCATAACTGGTGGTTGATATTGGGGAAAACAGTCCAGAATGGGAGCTCAAGCTGAAGACTAGAGCTCAAGCTGAAGACTAGGGAAAAAAGACACCCCCCCCCAGCATTCTTTAGGGGTATTCCTAGAACCTTAAGAGGGAGATATAACCTTGCTCTAGGAACCCAACTTGTTTGTGCTCACGTAGGCTAGAAGAGTAAGTTCAATGCCTCGATACACTGATTATTTAAAAGAGGATCCTTCATCCAATCTGTATTAAAGATGCCATTCATTCATATATAAATGTTTCACTGCAACTTTTCCACTTAAAGATATAATATACTCCTAATCTCTTCTAATGATATTTGTGAAAAAATTATAATGGTTGAATTCAGAGGAAAATTATACTATTCTCATGTTAAATTTACTTACAGATCATTAAACTAGCTAAATAGGTAAAAAGTTCTTAAACGAACTGTACATTAACTTTAAAGGTTAAAGACTGTACTTCGTAATTCACTATTAAACTATCAAATTGCCAACATTTCAAAATGAACAAAACATAAGGAAGAAAAAATAAATTTGGTTTTGGAGGAAGGAAAGAAAAAGAAAAATAATGAAGTATAGAATGACACACCACAAAATCTTCAGTTGCCGAAAGTTTCAAATGTGTCTACTACATTAAAAAAGTCAGAAAACTGAATTAACATCTTGTAGATTTTCTTTTTTTTTTCTTTGGGGGGGGCAACTGGGGTTAAGTGACTTGCCCAAGGTTACACAGCTAGTAAGTGTCAAGTGTTTGGTCTGAGGCCACATTTGAACTCAGGTCCTCCTGACTTCAGGGCCGGTGCTCTATCCACCGTGCCACCTAGCTGCCCCCATCTTGTAGATTTTCAACAAAAGTGCAGATAAAAAGGATTTTACATCTAACCATCACTGCTTAGAAATGAAGTTAATTAAAACATGTCATTTTCAAATAAGTCAATTAGCTACTTACTTTTAAATTTCTGAAAAATCCAACAAGTGGAACAAACATGAAAATGTGACAAGTCTCCAGAGAACACCTACTCAAAGGATGTGACATTTGCACATTTAATCCTGGAAAGGATTTAAAGAAAACCCAACAGCCTTATACTCAAATACATTAACTGTGATATGATGGGCAGTCGATTTAAATACATAATGTTTCTTAAAAAGTTTGTGAAGTGATACTCTAGTTAGAAGGGGCTTCTGTAACTACTTAGAAGAAAGATAAAATATGACATTTGAGATACATAAGGAAACTACTCAAAATTTACAAAAGTAACTGCCAGACCACAGAGGAGAAATGGTCAAAAGATATAAAATAGATAATTTTTCAAAAGAACTATCAACTGTCAATAATTACTTGAAAAAGTGCTCAACATCACTAATGATCAGATATCAATTAAAACAACATGAAGACACTATAATTACAACATTGCAGTATTTACACACAGCTGTAATATCTGCAGAGCACTTTACAAGCATCATCTCATCTTATCCTCATAACCACCTCTGCATGTAGATGCTATTGGTATCTCCATTTTGCACATGAGGAAACTGAAGCAGATAAAGGTTAAGTAACTTGCCCAGGCTCACAAACTTGGCAGTAAGTGTCTGAGGCAGGACTTGAATTTATCTATTACCCCTTTTATCTCATAGCAATCAAACTGGCAAGAAGAGCCCAATAAGGCACTGTGGAAAAACAAGCATAGTAATATATTGGAAAACAGGCTGGCAGTATGAAATGAAGGTCACAAAACGAACACCACTTGACCAAACAGTTTCAGTACTGGGGACACAAATGATCTCTTCAAAGACTATTAAAAAACAGAAACCCAACACTAACCCCGATGTTCCACAATGGGAGACTGGTCCAGTAAATCGTGGCAGCGTGTGAATGGAGTGGATACTGTAGGGCAGCTGAGACCAAATCTCTCCTCTCCTTCTTCCTTTCTCTGGGCCTCAGTTTCCTCATTTGCACAAAATGAGGGTTTGGACTAGATAGTCTGCTAAGTCCCTTCTGATTGCATCTCTAAAGTTTGTATTTTATTCTCTAAGTCAGTGGCATGGACCACCAAGGAGGTCTTGGATAGACCTAGGGAGGGAGGAAGTGGTCTATGAATGTGGATGGAAAAAAAGCTTTATTTTCACTAACCTCTAACTAAAATTGAGCACTTCCTTCAGATATGAATTTTTTTTTTTAAACCATGATTCCGGAAAAGGCTCTAGCCCTGGCTTCCCCAGACTGCCAGGGAATCTTGGCATAGTCAGACTTCAGCCAGCCTTAAGCCCAAGGATGCTTCAGAAACTACATGGCCAGAGTAGGAGCCAACATTTTAACTTTCTTTAAGAACTTTTCTGACTTAAAGTTGAGATTTTTAAAAGAACAGGAATCCTGATAAAACCACTTGTTAGATAGGAACTAGAAATCCATACCATCCACATTTTCAGAGTCACCAGCAGGTTAGGCACGGGGCAGGAATAATCACACTAGGCCCCTCTCAAAGCGCCAGACTGCTTAGGTGTGGAAACATGACGACACACATATAACCTAAAGCACACTGCTTGCTGTGTGAGGGGAGGGGGCAGAGAGAGAGAGGAAGGAAAAAAAATTTGGATCTCAAAATTTTACCAAAATGAATGCAGAGTGTTTAGGAAACTACATTGTTTATAATGTGAACACTTCTTAACCATCATTTCAGGTACCTTAAGGTATAGTAAGAAAAAAAGAGTTGTTAGTTTGGGTAAATTTCTGGTTATTTTTCCCTAAAAATTAGGAAAAGTAAAGGAATTTTCATTTTCAAGACAGAGAAAATTTCTGAATTTGTTTCTGTGTTGGTTCAGTCCAACAAACGACTGTGCATTTAATGAACATAACTTCATTGGCATAAAAAAGAATCCTACATAAATGCTTGAAAAAAATTTAATTTCAGAATTCTTCTTAAAGAGTGGTAATAAACAGGTTTTTTAAATCTATGAAATTATCACTAGATTTGACCTTTTCGAATACACATGACCAAAAATATAAACTTCTCCAGCACTTACAGGGAATGGCTCCAAGCCCTCTTGAATCACAAAGCCCTCGATAACGTGGGTCAAGATTTGCGGTTTCACAATAGCCTGGGGAGGTCTGTTTTCTACATTAGGAATGCTGCTGGGCAGAGACGTGCCATGGCTCCGTGTGGCAGCGGCTGGAAGCAGAAGTGGAGGCGGGGGGACAGAGGCGTGGGGAGGGTCTGTCGGGGACTTAATCACAGATGCGCTGACTGATGCCACTGCAGGGAGATCCACTTGGTCTGAAAAAAACAAGGTCAGTTGTTTCTGTGTTTCAAGGTCAGACTATTTTTAAAGACACAGAAGGAAGGAAGCATCAGTTACAACACTCAGCCCTGTGTCTCTACCAGCCGTCCGGAGGGATCTTCTCAAACGGCCTACTCTGTGAAGCTGCAGGAGACGTGAAGTCTGCCCGTATGGCACATGTTCCACACGCGGCCACCAGCGTGGTGAAGGCGCTCTGGAAAGCACAGGAGGGGAGAGCTCAGGGAGAGCTCACAGGCAGTCCATGGGCAGCTACATCTGCTTCTGTCTGAGTTTGTCGTTACTGACCTAAGTCTCAGGCCCATGAGCACTGACCCCCTCCTCCCCAGGAATGCCAGTCTTTCACTCATTCATCATTCATTCATGGATGAACAGAAGCCAGAGCATAAGACAATGAAAAAGAGAGGAGCAAGATGATGTCTACAGGATCTGGGCAGAAGGCAAGTATGGAGGGAAGAGGCACCTCCAAGGGGCAAAGGGCCATGTAGTATCCTCCTAATGAGAACCATTCCAACAGCAGGGCCTTTCCCTCGCTGCAATATCTAATATTCCTGACTGTCTCTCATAGTCTCTCTCCTCCCACAAGCTCAAAGAAATCCCACTGTTTGGCTTCTTCCTTTACTCTGGTGACTGTTCTTTCTCTCACTCTACCAGCTAGCACCCCTTTTTTCCTCTTCTTTCCAGCCCTATACTGTCACTGTTCACCAAGATCCTGTCTGAGGCCACCACAGCTTCCACAATTAATCTCTATGCAGGCGACGACAAAATCAGCTGCCTTAAAGACCATCTCCACCTAGAGGAGACTGGCACCTCCAACTCAACATGCTCAAAACTCAAACGTACCTTCTCCCTAGAGCTGGCCCCTCCTTCTGATTGTCCCTACTATTCACCCAGTCTCTCAAGATCAAAACCCAGGCATCACTGTTGCCTTCTACCATTTCCCACAATGCTCACCAACTGGTTCCCGAGTCCTCTCCACCATCTCTGACACCCAGCCCTCCCTCCTCATGCAGCCTTCATCATCGTCTGCTCAGACTACAACAATCATCTCCTAATAAGCCTTCCTTCCAGACTCCTCAACCCACGAATGCCAAAGACAACTTAGAAGGTCACTGGGAAAAGTCTGTTTCTGCAGTGCTGAGAGAGAAGCAAGGTGCTCTCAGCTCCATGCCCCGAGCACAGCCTGGGGCAGGGCCTGCCTCCTGAGCTTCCAGCCCATAGACAGGGGGAATCCAGTGGCTGATCAAAGGGAGATTGCAGGGATCTCTTGGCCAGTGCTGAGGCAGGAATCTCTTGCTTTGTCTGTGCTTGGAGCTGGGTCACAGTTCTGGGTAGCGGTCCTGGGGCAAGGAAGAGTGCTGGCATGGTGGAGCTTGTAGTGGCTGTGGAGAGGAAACCTTCCTCACAGTTCCAGGACAGAAAGGAGTGCTTGTGGTCACTAACAGACCAGAGCACAGGCCAGGAAAGGAGTAAACACCTCGCCCCTTATCATATCACCTCGGAAGAACTAAAAATTTACAGGTCCCTACAAGTATCTCTGAAAACAGCTGTACAAACCCCCCAAAGCTTGGGACAGTACATTCTCCACATTGAAAGCAGACTCCTACCTTAACAAAAGAGTTTAAACTCAAGTAATCGGCCAGGATTATGAGCAAGCAGTACAAAAAGAGTCAGACTATATTATCTTACTTTGGTGACAAAGAAGATCAAAACATACAACCAGAAGAAAACAACAAAGTCAAAGCTCTTAAATCCAAAGCCTCCAAGAAAAATATGAAGCAGTCCCAGGCCTTGGAAGAGTTCAAGAGGGATTTTGAGAAGCAAGTAAGAGAAGCAGAGGAAAAACTGGGAAGAGAAATGAGAGTGATGCAAGAATATCATGAAAAACAAGTCAACAGCTTGCTAAAGGAGACCCAAAAAAATACTGAAGAAAATAACACCTTAGAAAATAGCCTAACCCAAGGCCGAGCTAATATAATAAAAATGACAATCCTACCTAAGCTAATTTACTTATTCAGTGCCATACCAATCAAACTACCAAGAAATTATTTTATAGAGTTAGAAAAAATAATAACAAGATTCATTTGGAAAAACAAAAGGTCCAGAATATCAAAGGAACTAATGAAAAGAAATGCAGGGCAACCTAGCAATTCCAGATCTTAAATTGTATTACAAAGCAACAATCATCAAAACTGCTTGGTACTGGCTAAGAAATAGGGAGGTGGATCAGTGGAATAGGTTAAATATGCAAGACACAGTAGTCAATGACTATAGTAATCTATTATTTGATAAACCCAAAGACCCCAGCTTCTGGGATAAGAACCCACTCTTTGAAAAAAACTGCTGGGAAAACTGGAAAAGAGTATGGCAGAAACTAGGCATAGACCCAAATCTCACACCATATACCAAATAAAGTAAAAATGGGTTCATGACTTAGATAAAAAGGCTGATACCATAAGTAAACTGGGAGAACAAGGAATAGTTTACCTATCAGATCTATGGAGAACAGAATTCATGACCAAACAGGACACAGAGAACACTATGAAAAGCAAAATGGATAATTTTGATTACATTAAATTGAAAAGGTTTTGCACAAACAAAGCCAATGCAACTAAGATTAGAAGGAAGGTAGAAAATTGGGAAAGAATTTTTACAACCAATCTCTCTGATAAAGTCCTCATTTCTAAAATATATAGAGAATTAAGACAAATTTATAAGAACACAAGCCATTCCCCAATTGATAAATGGTCAAAGGATATGAACAGACAGTTCTCAGATGAAGAAATTAAAGCCATCTATAGTCATATGAAAAAATGCTTTAAATCGTTATTGATTAGAGAAATGCAAATTAAAACAACTGTGAGGTACCACATCACACCTATCAGATTGGCCAACACGACAAAACAGGAAAATGATAAATGTTGGAGAAGATGTGGGAAAATTGGATACATTGTTGGTGGAGTTGTGAAATGATCCAACCATTTTGGAGAACAATTTGGAACTATGCCCAAAGAGCTACAAAAATATGCATACCCTTTGATCCAGCAATAGCATTTCTAGGGCTGTATCCCAAAGAGATCAAACAAATGGGAAAAGGACCCACATGTACAAAAATATTCATAGCAGCTCTTTTTGTGGTGGCAAAGAACTGGAAATTGAGAGGATGCCCATCACTTGGGGAATGGCTGAGCAAGTTATGGTATATGAATGTAATGGAATACTATTGTGCTATAAGAAATGATGAACAGGCTGACTTCAGAAAAACCTGGAAAGACTTATATGGTCTGATGCTGAGTGAAATGAGCAGAACCAAGAGGACTTTGTACACAATAACAGCCACATTATGCAATGACTAATATTATTAAACTGAACCCTTCTCAGCATTACAAGGATCTAAGACATCTCCAGAGGCCTCATGACGGAAAATGCTATCCACATCCAAAGAAAGAGCTATGGAAGTTGAATCGCTATCACCCTATTTTTACCTTCTGTTGAGTTTTGTTTCATATTGCTGATGGTTCCTCCTATTGGCTTTAATTTTTACTTACAAGTTCACTAATGTGAAAATATGTTTAATAGGAGTAAATATATAGCCTATATCAGATTGTGCACCGTCTTGGGGAGGGTGGAGGGAAGGAAGGGGGAGAAAAATTTTCAACTCAAAAGCATATGGAAGTGATTGTTGATAAATCAAAATAAATTAATAAAATTAAAAATAAATAGCCTAACCCAAATGGCAAAAGAGGTCCAAAAAGCCAATGAGGAGAAAAATGCCCTAAAAAGAAAAATTGGCCAAATGGAAAAGGAAGTCCAAAAGATTACTGAAGAAAATACTTCCTTAAAAATTAGTATAAAGCAATTGGAGACTAGTGACTTTATGAGAAATCAAGACACTGTAAAACCAAATCCAAAAGAATGAAAAAATAGAAGACAATGTGAAATATCTCACTGGAAAAACAACTGACCTGGAAAATAGATCCAGGAGAGAGAATTTTAAAATTACTGGACTATCTGAAAGCCATGATCAAAAAAAGAGCCTAGACATCATCTTTCAAGAAATTATCAAGGAAAACTGCCCTGATATAGTATAACCAGAGGGCAAAATAGAAATTGAGAGAATCCACTGATCTCCTCCTGAAAGAGATCCCCAAAGGACAACTCCCAGGAATATTGTAGCCAAATTCCAGAGTTCCCAGGTCAAGGAGAAAATATTATAAGCTGCCAGAAAGAAACAATTCAAGTATTGTGGAAACACAATCAGGATAACACAAGATTTAGCAGCTTCTATATTAAGGGACCGGAGGGTATGGAATATAATATTCCAGAGGGCAAAGGACATAGGATCACAACCAAGAATCACCTACCCAGCAAAACTGAGTGTAATCCTTCAGGGGAAAAAATGGTAATTCAGTGAAATAGAGGACTTTGGCTGAACAGAAAATTTGATTTTCAAATACAAGACTCAGGTGGAACATGAAGAGGTAAACAGGAAAGAGAAATCATAAGAGACTTATTAAGGCTGAACCGTTTACATTCCTGCATGGAAAGATGATATTTATAACTCATGAGACCTTGTCAGTACTATGGGAGTTGGAGGGAAAAAATTATATGTATGTATGTATGTGTGTGCGCGTGTATACACACACACACACACACACATACATATATATCTAGATAGATAAATAAAGAGCACAGGGTGAGTTGAAGATTAAGGGGTCATATCTGGAGAATAAAATTAAGAGATGAGAGAGGATTATACTAGGAGAAGAAGAAAGGGAGAAGTAAAACAGGGTAAATTATCTCACAGAAAAAAAGAAAATGACTACGTTCCTTTTTTTTCAAAACGTCTCATAAATACCTAAAATCATTTTGTATTACGTATAACTTGGCTTGCTCATAAAATTGTTGCATTTGATATATTAAGAAATAGTTTCTTCAGATAATAATTACTAATTTGCTAATATGATTTCCCTAAAAA